CCCATTAGAATATGTTTCATGCTAAATATCTTAGCTCTAGCTCTTTGGGTTCTTTAAATTTTTTTAAAGTTTTTACTATATGCATATAGGGAAAATCAATGACCCCCTGGGGCGGGGCCAATTTTGACCCCAGGGCTTTAATTTGAACAAACTTGGTAGACACATATTAGAAGATGTTTCATGCTTAATATCTTAGCTCTAGCTCTTTGGGTTCTTTAAGAGAAGATTTTTTTAAGTTTTTACTATATGCATATAGGGAAAATCAATGACCCCCTGGGGCTGGGCCAATTTTGACCCCAGGGCTTTTATTTGAACAAACTTGGTAGACATCCATTAGAACATGTTTTACGCCAAATATCTAAGCTCTATCTCTTTGGGTTTTTTAGAAGAAGACTTTTTAAGTTTTTACTATATGCATATAGGGAAAATCAATGATCCCCTGGGGCGGGGCCAATTTTGACCCCAGGGCTTTTATTTGAACAAACTTGGTAGACATCCATTAGAACATATTTAATGCCAAATATCTAAGCTCTAGCTCTTTGGGTTTTTTAGTAGAAGATTTTTTTAAGTTTTTACTATATGCATATAAGGAAAATCAATGACCCCCTGGGGCAGGGCAAATTTTGACCCCAGGGCTTTTATTTGAACAATCTTGGTAGACACTCATTAGAAGATGTTTCATGCTTAATATCTTAGGTCTAGCTCCTTGGGTTCTTTAAAAGAAGATTTTTTAAAATTTTTACTATATGCATATAGGAAAAATCAATGACCCCCTGGGGCGGGGCCAATTTTGACCCCAGGGCTTTTATTTGAACAATCTAGGTAGACACTCACTAGAAGATAGTTCATACCAAATATCTAAGCTCTAGCTCTTTGGGTTTTCTAGAAGAAGATGTTTAAAGTTTTTTTCTTTTGATTGCCATGGCAACCAGAGTTCTGCATGGATGGAATTCTTTGAACAACTTTGTTAAGGCTTGACACAAGGAACATCCCTGTGAAGTTTCATTATGATCTGCCTTATGGTTTCAGAGAAGATGTTGTTTGAAAAGTGTGAACGGACAACGGACGACGTACGACGGACACCGGACGACGGACGAAGAGTGATCCTAATAGCTCACCCTGAGCATATGCTCAGGTGAGCTAAAAACTGATACAAGTTATTTAGCCCTTAGGTAAGGGAAGCATGCCTATATATTGTCTGCTTAAGAAAGGTGGTTGCTCAAAACATGTGAAGCTGAGAACAACGTGTACGTTTTGAGACATTTTTGTTTTGCGGTTTAAGCCATTAAACTGCTGAATATCAAAGGCCGCTGGTTCAATTTTTACTGTAGATGATAGCCTATCACATATTTATCCTTTGCAGACACTTAAGACCAACGTTTTATCCACATTTTTGTGTAAAGGATGATCGTACTGCATTGCATACTGATTTACACACTTGTTGAATGATAATAAATGCCAAAACGTGCCGTGATTTAGCGCAAAAACACACTGGCAATAACAAAAGTTATCATAAAAATTATGTGACATCTTCAGAGTTATCACAAGAATTCTGGGACATTTGGAAAATCAGGTATAAGTCTGTTAGCCGGTGCTTTATGTTATAATTAGATAATTATGTATAGCATGGATGAAAACCAGAAAAAAAACGGTCAAAATTTGCGAATTGGCAAGTAATTTGGACATTTTACTCAAAACTTCCAGATTTGAAGCAAGAGACGATGAAAATGGCCTGTGAATTAGGCTTTGACATATAACATGTATAATACAAGATGTAAGACTAGCGTAATCATTAAAATTTAATTTAGCACCTGAAACTCTTAATGTTTGAACGATGAAAATAACCAGAGTTTTTGTAGTATATACAGATGTTTTCCGACGAACTCCGTGACAGTTATCACAAGAACTCCTGAACAAGTTATCATAAGAACTCAATCCTCCTTCGTGTAACACTTCCTCACCCGTGTATGGCGCAAATCCAGAAAATACATTCGGAAGACCTGTTCTCATCGTCGATAAAGAAATGCAATACGACAAAATTAGCGGTAAAATTACACGGCGCTGAACATAAAATGATTGAACGAAACTTATGCAGTACATTTTAATATGGGTGTGCGTTCACGTGTTTCAATGTATTTTCGGAATTTGCAGATGCTAATGAGGAAACCGAAAAATGAAGCCTTAATAGAATTTTACATTTTCGTGGGACCAATGAGTGACTTCTGCTCTCGACTTAAGCTGTAAAGGTCACTTGTGCGCATTTATAATGATAAAAAATTTGCAAACAAGAAATGTTGTTGGACTTTACTAGCATACTTGAACAAATATGCAGTCTGCATTGAAAATACAACTGCGTCGTATCATATTTTATTTCCAACTATGTCGTATCATTTCGTATAAATCATTGTTTTCTTGGAAAATAAACTTTTCTTTTAAATGAAATCTTAGTACATGATGCAAAATTATATTTTGAAGTTTATGGCGTATTCTGAAATAAGTATATTATTAATTTGATGGGAAAAAACGATAGATAAAGCAATATGAACTGCATCGTATCCACAAAACTTCATAAAAAATTTGTTCCGCTTCGAGTTCCGAGTTCGCTATAAGTTTTATTATTTGTCATAATACAAAATAGTTGTGCAAGCAACATATACCGAACGAAGTGGAAAATATTGGGGCGTGTTAATGCATATATTTGGTTTTCAGTCATTTTCAACAAAAAGAGTTAAAAACAAAAACATACCTTTTTTCGTTCCAAGATGGCGGCGTTTGTTTACATTTTGTAGGATAGTACGCAGTTTTGATTCCCAGCCCTGCACTTTTGGTCAAAAAGTGACATCATATGCTGACTTTAAAAATATTTTTTTTATCTTAAATAACAATTTAGTCTTAGCATATTGTAGAACTGTATCATTCTTGCACTAAGCTAGTTTTAGTTTAAATATGTAAACATGTGTACCATATTTAAGTGAATACGCGTACTTATTTAATGATAGCGCTCAAAGAAAATAAGAATACGAAAAACAGACTTTGAAGTATTACGACATACTTTGTTTTTATTGAGGATTTTTTTTACTATTTATACAAATGCAAAATTGAGTTGAGTTGAGTTGAGTTGCAAGGTATTGAAATTATCCATCTATCAGGGCAGATATGATTTTGAGCGAAATAACCATAACTAAATAATCTGAATTATTTTGAGTTATACATTGTCAAGTAGTTTTGAAAAATTGTACTGAAGCTGTAATTCTGTATTATGTACGTTTAGTTATATTTATTATACAAAACATGTATAGGTAGGATTTTATTTATTTTATGTGACAGTTGGTTGTTCCAGAAATAAATTAACAATTCTAGGGGGTGTCACAGTTATAAATTTATTTTATTGTTTGTAGCTTCCAATTGTCGTAATAAAAAGAGTGTCCTGACTGTAAATATAGACAAGTTCTATTATGTCTGTTAAGGATGGCTGAAGACCATCCTTTTTCAACAATTTCACTGACCTAAGTGATTACGTTTTACAAATCCCGCAAAACGTGAAAAAATGAGATGTTATATATTTGTTAGTCATTGAAACTGGTTAACTTTGACCTCTCACACAAAGGTAAGTGTATTAGATTTAGTTGTCATGAAATTTTAATGATTATAAGGTATGAGGCCACTACGTTCAGGTCAGGATGAGGCCACTCAGTTCAGGACTAATCTATACAAATTACACACTGTTACATTTAAACTTATGCATACATATTGCTTCGCAAATATCAAGTTCCCGGAGCTGGAATAAAACACCTCACCCTTTCTCCCTTCCCCTATAAGGATTAATTTAATCATTTGAGACGGCCAAAAATGGATAAATTGCTCGTATTGTTGAACTAGTTCGTATTGAAAAAGTAATCTTTAAAACTATTTAAAAATTTGATTCATATTTAAGACACTTAAATGCTTGTTGTCAAGTAAGTTTTATCGAAGAGCTGTGACCCAATATTTCGGGATACATAGCATATGCTTACAGACACCTCACCCCAAAACACTTCACACTCTAAAAACCTGAGACACTGTATGGTAATTGAAGTGTCCTATTTCAAAATTTAGCAGGAAGGGGGGGATGGTAAGTGTATTGTTCCTATGTAGAGTCAACACTCCTAATTAGGCTTTTTTTATGTCGCAACAGCAGGGGTTTCGGTAAAGTTTCAATGTCCTGCGGAATATCCTGCCATATGTTGAGCAATCAGAGGATTGATAAATATAACAATGCCCTGCTGTATGGTCTGCCGAATATTCTGCAAGAAAACACATTTGATTAAAGTACTGTCGATTGTCTAATATCGTACTCCGTGCAAAATGAACACACTTGAGAAATACTTACTATTATGCAAACACGTACATGTGCTATGAAAAGGAATTCATTGCATATCTTGTCTTTATGACTATCTTATTGTTATAATGAAAGATTCTAAAGCGTATTCTAGCCGATGAACTTAAACAAATTGACAAAAAAATAATAAAAATTAAAAAAAGTTCACTGATCAATCAAAATTTATATTGTATTGTATGCCTATCTGAATTTTAACTGCTTTAAGGACCAAAATGAATTGGTTAACTTCGACAACACTAAAAAAATACGCTAAAACCTTTAATTTACTGATAAATTAATATGTAATCGTAAAATAACCAAATCAGAAAGAAAACTGTTCGCCACTTACCAAATGTCTCATTATCCAGACGCTCGTTTTGAAGCGATTGAATTATAATCAATTGCCTGTATGACTTTGGAACTGATATATTATGATGATGACGAATTCTCCGAAAATGTCGTTACCGTCTATTATATTTCTATCCAAAATTGGCGTTAAATTCTCTATTTGACCTTATATATTTTTGAATTGCCTTAAGGACGCAAAACAAAATATGAATACAAACAGCCTAATTTATTTCTTCCACTTGAATGATAAAAGGCAGCGAAGCTTTAAAAGCAGGTTTTGGGTGTTAATTAAATTTCAGTTAAGCTAGGATAGTAAAGGAAAGAGGTTGCTAAATCATAAACAAAATTTACGAACATTATTTTGCAGATACTATGGATGCGAAAATACCATTTGCATTCCAACTTTCGTTTATAGGCTTTTGTCTAATGATATCATTCACATATATACAAATGGGAGACTGTGCTGAAGTTTCTAATACCAAAAATGAACTTGCCGAGGACATTTTCAGTACGCTTCAATCACTTCGGAGTGAAGTACAAAGTCTAAAGGCACAGATTGCTGTTGAGGGGGAAAGAAACATTTCCCCGGAAGAGAGACGGGTTTCGAAGAAAAAGCGAGTGGCTTTTTATGCAAGAGTTTCACCATCCATTACTAAAATTGCGGCCGAGGACACGATCGTTTTTTCTCTCGTGGAAACAAACAGTGGCGAAGCATATAATCCTTCAACTGGCGAATTCAAAGTGCCTTTTGCTGGAACATACGTTTTCTTTTCGAATATCTTATCTGGATCTGGAAAGTTTATTGAAACCTGCCTGAAGGTTAATGGGAAAATCAGGATGCTCATGTACTCTGGTGGTAAATATTGGGGTTCAGGGAGCAATATGGCAGTTCTTGAACTAAAGGCTGGAGATATCGTCAATATAGCTAAAAAAGGTCCCTGGGGAACGCCTCCGTTGTATATACACCATCTATGGAGTACATTTTCCGGCTTTTTACTTTACTAAGGTTTTCTACGAACAATTTACTTTTACGCGTTTCTTTATCTATATAATATGCTTCTAATTGAAAAGAAACAACAGATAACTCAAGTCGAAACGTGCAAAATCAATTACCCTGGGAAGAAACATTGTTACAACATACAACACTACATTTTAAAACTTTCGTGAAATAAAATACGGACAATGTGCAAGAAAAAGGATTCAATTTTGTATGGAATATTATTTCAATGATTTAGTGACATGCAAAGTATAAAACCATCAGATGTAGTGTATAAATGATAAAAGTTGAAACTATTGCTTCTTATCATTTTTAAAGCGTTTCATTGCCAGAATATTTTACTTTTTGCTTGTAAATATAATCAAATCGTATTTTGTTTTCATATATTAACCAACTATTGTAAAGCTTTCTTCTGATATGAATAAAACATAATATTTATTAACCTAACAAATGGCTTTTGTGTCATGTAAATCCATTATTGTCGCGGAAAAAAATGGACTTTTATCTCGTCATTAAAATATTTTGAATCAATTGAAACATAGAAATATATCAAAAGAAAAAGTGTCAAAGATATTTGGGTCATCTAATATTACATAGACGTGTCGTATGTTACGTAACGTTACCAACACTTTCAGATATCTTTAGAAATACCGGAGATTAATTTATTCGCGGGTATTTCTTACTAGCTTTACGGCGACAAGACACAAAACAGGCGAAAAGTTTGTTATTGCTGAAAAAACTCCCTTTTCATCTAAGATATATCTAAGGTGACCCCATTCAATGATTGTAATAAGGGCGTGACTTTATTAGTCTTAGATTAAAACAAACACAAAGCTATTAAAGAGAAATCAGTGCACATTGCCACCATTAAATCTCTTCACAATGAAATGTGTGCAATGCTACCCAAATCTCTTTAAACAGATATTAAATCTGTTAGCAACATAACCAAATGAAAAGAAAAAATAATTGTAGAGCGTGTTAATACGTATATGAGAAATAAACCAAAATTTTCCTTTTTCATTCAATGATTGTGGCGTTTGTTTAAAATTGTAGGATTACGTCGCAGTTCTGATTCAAAGCCCTGATAAAGTCACGACTGGATACATTATGTATAACACTGTAATATATTGATTATACAAACTTATTGGCATAATGATAGAGATATTTCAGTGTTCCAGATATTATTGTTGAAGTAAGATAAATGAGTACAATAGATTTAAACAGGTCTGATTTTTATAGCATTTTTTGCAAACTGTAGGTATCTCTCCCAGGAAAAAAAAACAAATAAATGTCAGCGGGACAAAATAAGAAAATAGGTACAATTTTAACCGTTTATCTCAATTTATATTTGTTTGTAATGATAATTATGTTAATAAAATCAATGATTAAGTATTTTAACGTTATAAATGTTCGTGTGTGATCCTATACATCTTAATATATAAACTGTAATATTTCCATCATTGTTTTTGTTGGATGTATACGGTCAAACACGATTTGTCATTTTATGCAGACTTTTAAATGGTAGAATGATTTAAGTCCTGAAGAAAATAAGAGTGTGCCTGTGCCTTGATGTCGAGATCAACGTAGTTAGTGTATGAAAAGAACATCGAAACCTTGCAAGAGCAACTTTTGTTTCAGATATTGCAATGAACAATGACTTTAGAATTTTTAATAGTAAGAACGACACTAGTTATTTACCGATATATCATAAAACAAATTTTGCCGAGAGCACTGACGAAAATAAAATAAACATGTTTGCAGTTAATCATTATGTGTATTAAATACATAGCCAAGCCAAAGTCACAAGTATAAAAGAGAAATTAAAGACTTGTTGCCCAAACATACTGGACGGATATCGACTAAGTCCTTTGATATTTTACGACATTGTTTATCGGGCATCTAGTTTGGTATACTAATTTATTACAGTTGTAGAATAATGCAAGGTTTTTGTTTTAATTGCTCATAAATATAATGTTAAAGACCTTCTGCCTTGGTAAATATCACATAAGTCAGGCCTATATACGATCATAAGACTAGTGTGTTATAACGTATCTCTTGATTGCAATAATCAATAAGGGATGTAATTGCTTGAAAGGACTAGATGGTGGTATAATTTGAAGTTGTCTCCCTTGAAAAATAAAATATAATTTGTTAAATTTGATATCAAATGGTACACAGTTTCTTTGTAATTATCAAATAAACATGTTGTAACTTTACACAAAGTAGGTATGTTAGGTTTAAATTCTACAAACATAGGTGGTCACCGACACAATATGAATTATTAGTGTCATTTTAGACACTGGCATTTTTGTAAAGAAAAGATAAACGTTACTTGACCTGTAATAGGAAACGCAGCTTCTCATTCAGAATTCATTCATTAAAATCCAGCTAAAATATTATTTTCAAACCAAGTTATACTGAAAAATTTGTTAACAAACCAAAGGAAATTAAACCATTAGGCCTTCGTTTAAAAGAGGATTTAGATAAACTTAAAATTAATCCAGACTGTATCCTTCAAAATGACGATGAGGATGTTCCACCTTGGACTTATAATTCCCCGGAAATAAATATTAACCTTTCAAATATAAAAAAGGCATCAAATTCACCTGAATATTTCAAAGAAAAGTTTCTAGCAATTAAGGAAGAACATGAAGATTTTATACATATTTATACGGTCGGTTCAAAAGAAGGTTGCAAAGTAGGTGCGGCTGCGTTTGAAAATAATTTTACATCTAGTATGAGGTTACCAGATAATGCATCAATTTTTACTGCTGAAGCAAAAGCTATCGATTTAGCATTGTCATACATAGCACAGCATACCCACGAAAAATTTGTGATATTTTCTGACTCGCTTTCTGTTTTAATATCCATTAAAAATAAAAAATCTGACAATATCATGGTAAAGAAAATTCTTTTACGATTTCATGATATACTAAAAACAAAATAAGTTAAATTATATTGGATTCCAAGCCATGTAGGAATACGAGGAAATGAAAAAGTAGATGCTTTAGCTAAACAATCATTAATTTTTCAAAAAACCGACTTATTGTTACCTGCTTGTGATTTTAGACCGGCTATAAATAAACTCGTATCATCTGAATGGAAAGCAAATTGGGACAATGCCGTTTTTAATAAACTTCACGATATTAACCCATCTCTTGATATGCCACCATCTCTATCTCTGTCAAACCGCCGTGATCAAACAGTTCTACTTCGATGCCGAATTGGACACACTAAAATTACCCACTCTTATCTCCTCACAAATGACAATGCCCCTTTCTGTGTAGGTTGTAATGACAATTTTACTGTCAAGCATTTCCTTCTTGAATGTCATGATTTTTCACAGGCCCGTAATAGATTTTATTCTGTAAATTCACTCAAAGAACTTTTTAATACAATTCCATCAAAAAACATAATTGATTATTTAAAAGAGATAAATTTGTATTCTAGGATCTAATTAGCTCATTGCTATTGCCATTTACAATGTTTTACATAATATTTTAAGCCTATTATAGCATTCGGCACGATATGGCCAGTTATGTGTTGACGTGCCGTAAAAATCAAAACAAACAAACAAACTTTCATTCAAATTAGACATTTTCAGCACAAATTTAATAAATTTCGATACATTTATGTGATTAACATATGCATTTTTTACTCAAGGATAAGAGCTGTGCAGTATAAAAGTAAGGGTACATTTTTCTATTTTCTAAGAAATGTCATTTCTTTCTCAAAAAAGGAAGTTTTCTGTCTATTAATTCGTTATATTTATTCCTGACAGTCTGACCGTATATGAACGGTGGCTTGCAATAAAGCACTCGCCTAGCAGCTCGGGTTATATTTCCAAGCAGCCGTTTGAATAGGGCTGTATAACCAGTCAAAAATCTTTAAAACTAATAGTTATACACGGGTACATTCGATTTATGGATTAGTTTCACACTTTTCTCTTATGAAGGAAGTTTGCAGCATCATAGAGGCGTTTAAAGATTCTTGGCAGTTTATAAGACTGTATATAAAGGCTTATTTTCAATATAACCCTCGCTGTACCGCTTTGGTTATATAAACATGTACACAGAACCTTTTATATGGGTCATAAAGCAGGTCAAAGTATTCATAACTGATGATATATAATTACATTGAATTATATGGCTGATAATCAATTTATGAAGCAATTTCATGCTGTCCAATGAATTTGTTTTAATAGAATCATATAACATGTCATAAGTGTATAAATCCTTTATCATAATATAGCACTTTTGTAATGTCGTTTTTCGTTGGATATTTGGGGCGTTGTTATAAAGTATTTATGGCTTTTGTCAATTTATGAAGTTATTTCTTCAAGTAAAGTAACTCTATTGTTACAGTATTACATGTTCCCGAAAAAAATACCCGTTCTGTTTTATGGCTGTGTTAGACGGTTGTTTACAATATAATCATCGCATAGCATATGGAATGTTGTAAGCTACAACCGTTCCTTCTGAACCATATAGCCTGTCAGACATAGATATCTAATGCACGCACCTCCATTAAAGTCAACATCGGAACCTTCAGTACACAATCTGTATGTGCACGGTAAATAGCCTAAGGGTTACGCAGGCTGCATTACAGGTGCATACCTCAAGATGAGCCAAACTATCAAAAGACAATCATTCTTGACATAAATGTAACAAGAAAAGCATTGATGCAAAGCATCAAAGGGCGTCCAAGCAAGAAATGCAGCAAGTGAAGATGAACTAGTACACATATGATGACAAGACATTCTTATAAACTACCAGAAATGTATACCACTTATGAATGAGCGGACGAAAGACATTGTTCATTATGAACTTTGATTGGCATGCTAGAGATTAGAATATTACTTGTTATTTCTTTATGATCGTGGTTATTAATAGCAACGGATATACATGTATGCAATCATTTATAATCCATATGTGTAACGCATGATCAACACGTACCACACATTTGTCCCTTATTATGTACATGTTATCGCTATTAGCGAAGACCCCCTTAAGGTATCTGTTCACACTTTAAGTTAGTAAAAATATGACACTGGTTATATTACCATGTTGATCATGTTGAGCATAATTGTTTATTATACAATAATTGTAATATCTATTAATTTTAATTTAAAAAAAAATACAAATTTTATGAATATTGTTTTCTTTTATTCTTTTTTGTGTTTATGTGCCATTTTAATACTGAGTTTTTACTACTCTTTTTTATTAAAATTGTAAAATAAATTTTAAGAATTCAATTGTCATATTGACCGACGATTATAAGTCAAAGCTTAACTGGAAAAAGTCAGTAAATTATGGTTTATCTTTCAATATATAATATTGTTTATTCTTAAACCATGTACATGTACATTGTATTTTTCTTTATCATTTTTTAAATTATCGATCAATTGAATAATTCTTAAAATCTAATTTGTAACTTTGAATAATTCCTCGGCATCTAAACACGGATAACAAATTGAATAAAAAAATTGAATAATTAAATAAAATGTTTCAAAGTTGATAATGTCATTTTAATACCATAAAAAATGTACCTTTTTCTCAATTATTGTACATATCACGGATTTATATTACATATAAATCCGTGTACATATTTATTGTTTTTATCTCATATAGATAAAATGAAACATGCTATTGTTGTTTTTTTCTAATTGTAACGATATCAAACATCTACTCCAAAACCGGGAGAGACCGGACAATATAACGTGTGGTACTATTCGCCGGTCACTAGTAAATCCTGGTCAAAATAGACCGGGAGAGGACCGGCATTTACCGATAGGAGTGATAAAAAGATATATCTATAAATAGGTTTTTGGAATATTTAGGTCATCAACTGATCATTCTAGGATACATGTACAACAATAACATACCATGACATGATAACCGACTGTGTACTACAAAATGATAAATAAAAAACCCCGAAGAGCGCGATTTATTGACGGAAAAGGTTATTTCATTTGTAAATGTTTGCATTGCGAAAATTCATTGTAACATATCGCGACATTTCATTCTTATTTAATAATCAAGCACCCTCATACCGATCGGAATTTTCGGCTTTTATTATGACCGACTAAAAGGCTCGAGAAGTTGCTGTCGCCCTTTCACAAAATCTGATCTCATTCCATAAGAGCGCCGCGCTTCGGCGCGGACGCCAATAAAATTTTAAGAAATGAAAAACAAAATATTCACAATTTAAGAACTATTCTATCAATATGTTCTATGCAATAAGTTATTGATATTTCAATATTTTTTCACCATATTTCTACTGTGTGCTTTAGAGATATAGGAGCTTTTTTGTATATTCTGACCTATATTTGGTAAATTTACTAAATTTCAAGCGTCATTCGCAATAAATAAATTGCTATCTTTCTTCACTTGATAATATTTTTTCTTCGGAAAACATTTAAAAAAAGGATTCATGAAAATTTGCATCTGCTTTAAAATATACATGACACGATTCGGAGTGTTGACAATGATTCCTTTGCTAAATTAAATTAAATAAATATTTGAGACAATTTCAAATTTGTTCATTTGCATCCTATCTATATCAAAGTTGATCGAAAAAGCATTGTAAAGTCGACACTAATCTATGAAAATCCCTAGTCGTGTTAATGCGATTTTGATGTTTTGTAGAACAAAGGCACATACTAAATAATGACGTACAGCTTACCGATGGTATACGATACATTTCTTTGTATCTGATATAAAGAAATAAAATGGCAATGTAATGAATATATGTAGAAACAATCCGGCCGCATCTTCCTGAACAGGCTGTTAAGTAGTTTCCCAGTACATGTGTCTGATAAGCTCTACACATGCAAGAGGAGAGATGTAGTGATAATGACCGTAAAAGGGTTATTTATATGATCAATCACACTGAATATGACTTGCATCGTCCGGAAATCGATCACTTTACCTATTGAACCGACCAGACAATTACAACCGAACTTTATGTGAAAGCCTTTCATAAATTCAATATTTGATAGGAATTTAAAGTCATTATCGACTTAATAATCTGCTATGTTTTGGTTAATAATATTAAATGTTTGATTATCATAGTGCTCATTTTCATGTAGTTTCGATTTTATTTTTATTATTATACTGAAAATTAAAATGTGTACAAGATCGTTACCCAATATTTGCTTTATTCAATCGTATTACAACATAAAATATCAATAACAAACAGAAATCCACGATAATATTAAGTTCATGTCACATAGCAGACGAAATTAGTCTTCGTCAAAAACCCTTTCAATACAATTTCGAACGCGTACTTCAGAACGCGAATTCCATGCCGACCTTACCACTTTATCCATAATATCACCGAGCATTGGAGGTGTGGAATAAACAAATAAATTACAAATTGAAGAATGTCCTTCGTAGAAAGCAACATAGCATGTTGGTCTGTCGACACATTGCTGGAAACAATATGATGTATCCATAGTAAAGAATTTCATTGCACCTGAACAATCACCGGTCCAAAAACCATTGTCAAGAATAAGGAATTCATTCGAATACTTTATACAGTCTGAAATGGAAATAATTGTTTAAATTAGGCGAGGAGGATAAAAATCCAATAGGAAATACAGTTTTTTTGTTTCTGTTTAAAACATTTTCGGATTGTTTCATAGCCATCACAAATGAAACACTTACTAAAAATGAAATTTTTCTAAACGGGGCTAAAGTCAATACGAATAAATCATTGGTTTGTACCAAGATGGAAACAGACTTTCACTCACGGGTTATTTCCAACATGTATATTTTACGAGCAAATTGTAAAGATATTTTCTTTTTTTAAAAACTTATTTGTTTTTGTGTAATAAACTATAGAACAATTATGTTCTCGACGATTAAAATAGCCTAATATGACCGTAAAATTTAGAAATATTGTAAAAGTCAGACGATTATATTCTAGCAAAAACAACTCATAAATGACGAAACTGATGAACAATATAATAAACATATGCTTTGAATAAAAATACTCACAGCTATGCCATAATACAATATCACTGTGGTCTGAAATGGAGTAAAATTTTATTTTTAATCTTTATTCAAACTTCTGCAATGAAGAGCTGATCATTTTATAATTCTTAGACATTTTTTTTTCATTACAATGGTTCGTTTTTGAAATGACTGGCTGTGTTTGTCTACTAAATTTGTTTAACTTATATTGACAACTTTTTGCTGTCCGCCTTTTCAGAGACTGTTACGCAATTTTGCACCATATCCGTTAAATATTTACATGCAAAGGTTTCTATAACTAAGGATTTGTTTGGTATTCCAGTGGGGTATTCTTATTGACAAGGACATTTACATGGATTACTGTCCTCACTTGAATAATTTAATCTAACCAATTTTACTTAAGTTCTACCAGCCAACATAAATAATCAGTTATCGAGCCCGCTTTATGAAAGTAACCAGTACTGGTACCATATGATGTAAACATGGTCGTGACAAGAGAAGGATTCAAGCCATGGACTCCTGGATTGAGCGGCAGATACCTTTACCATTTAGCCATCGCGCTCCAGTTTGATTGTTTTATGACTCGAAACTAAATGAAAGTATGTTACTCCATTTTGATAATCATTAACAATATCGAGTTAATAACAATTAAAAGAAAAAAATGAAAAAATAAATTATAATACTTTTCTTCTCGCACTCGCAATGATGTCCGGAGTACCCCGAATTTGTACAATTACAGTTGACACTGTTGCCTTGCAGATAACATTGACTAGTTTGATGGCATTCACCTAAAGTAATAGACCGATGATTTTTAAATGTGTGATTTATGACCCGTGCAAATTATTGTAGCAAGAACTAAAACAAATCTTATAAAAAAACAACAAATGAGATCCCTTCAAAGTTATTGTTAGGTATTGAGTGGGACTACAAATGGCATTTGCCCAAAGTAGAGCCAGAGAGGAGTCTTACAATTCTCAAATAAAAATTGATAATTATAACGGTTTGTCTTGTCACGTGATTTATGTAAACACCAAACACAACAGAAACTGTTGTTTTTTTATATTTCGAAAGTAGAACAAATGAAATAATTTCTATAGAACTTTGTTAACTATTTAAAGAACTTCCTAGCGGTAACACTTACAGTCGCGGCATATCTTATTTACGTCGGTTCCCAAACACGCTTGACCGACTGGACACTGAAAATTAAAAATGTAGAAAGATTTGTTTTCTTATTACTTTCAAAAGTATATCGTATTATATAAATATGTGTTTTGAGAAATTCTTCAGCAATTAGAATTAAACTGTAAATACTGCCCAAAGCGGCATAATCAAGAATGTTGTGGGTCTGATACTTATTGAGCCTGTTCATGGACGACATAAGGAAATGCAACGTTCCTCCCACACGCCAAAACACCGAGTTACGACAAATCAACGTTGAGCGTAAGTCAATATAATCTTTAATATTGTTCATAAATATTCATAAATTTATATACAAGTAAATTGTTGAGTGTACGTCAAATGCTTCGAGTGTGATAAATGACAAAATATGTAAAGTCATATCATTGTACTGTAGTCAAATTTCCAACTCATTTGGAAATAATGGTGAAGAAATCAAGTAAACATGAAACATAGAAACTAAAACCAGTCAATAAAGTGATACTTTTTCCTGGGGCTTAAGCGTAAGTGTTTCACAATGTTTGACAAAACAAATGACGATTCCTCCGCCTTATCTCCGAGGTCAGTGGTATTGATTACAACTGACTCAAGTAAATCTATTATACTATCGTTTCTTAAATAGGATGTTTAGGCCAACAGGGCAGAAAAAAAAAGAATAAAAAATCAAAATATTCTGAATAACAATCTTTTTTTATTTTGAATATTCTAAATGTTAAAGCTTTTCTTACATCGCCATGAGTTGTGCAGTTCTTGATGTTATTATTTTTGGGGCACTGATGACCAGCTGATAATCCTATTTTACTTGACAGTGCGACAATTATCTGAAATGAAATGTAGGTAATAGCCATTAAATATTTATATTACAAATTTAAAAACCTGTACTTACATCAAGTATGTTGAATGCTATATCAATTCCAGATGGATACATTTTTTTCCAATTTTTAAAAAGTTGCCTAACAGCGTCAAAAGGGATAATAGAAATATTAATGCATTCTGAGTAAGCTGACAGGCACAAAATACATTTCATTTGGAAGCGTATTTTAAATATATATTTAAAGATGTCTGCCAGATAAATACCTCATATATCAATGGGGGACCAAATACGTGTACAAGTACAAGAACGCTAAGCGATTTTTAAAAATGTTTCCAAACTTCAACCAAAGACAATTTCAAGCATGAATACGTTGGATTCACTTTTTCGAACCAGGCAGAAAAATGGCAAACCAACACAGTAGAATGACTGTAGTTGCCAAAAAAGGAGGTCCTTTATTACTTGTACATAATTTTCTCCTGTGATTGTAAAGCTGTACAAATTCGGTTGCCCGCGGCAAAAGTATTACAGTTCGTACAGAAATACTATACTAAAACGTTCAAAAATGTTATTAGAAACGACGCCCTTGATTTAGTCATGTTCGGCTATAGTCTGATAATTCTCCATCACATACATCTCAGCTTGTGAAGCAATTATGGTTACTGTCTTGCCAAACTCACCACACTTTCAATATCTTGACCCATGCGACTTTTTTTCTATTCCAAAAAGTAAAGAGGTCCTAATCTAGTTGTCGGTTAAAGACCCGGCATACTTTTGCTTAGCCATCAATCAGTGCCTCAGAGATTTACCTTAACCAGCGTGCCTAACGCATTGCACAAAGGGATTCAGAACTTAAATGTTTTTCAAACCGTAGAAAATATTTTCAAGGAATGTGATGTTTATTTGTATTTGAGTCAAATGCTTTAATATGAGATATCGGACAATGCACCTTTACATATTGAACAGCTTTTGTAATTACGAATCGGTTAAGTGAAATATCAATCTTTATTTTGGTAGTTTCATGCTTTATGTTTTGAATTTGAATAATTCTTTTGGTTTCTCTATAGCTTTAGCGAATATTTGTCCGTGAAATGTCACTTAGTGACATTAAAGCTTTCCTTGTTAGGACAAACGCACTTGTTATTGATCCTATATGAAAGTATACACTCAAACATCATTAATGGGTAACACATTTAATCTATTGCAAGAAAACGCATTTTTGTCATATTGCAAAAATATTGTTTTCGTTAAAAGTGGTAGTCGGCAGATGTTCGGTTACACGTGTTGTTTCTTGCCTTCTAAGTTATTAAATATATTGACATAGTTTGTTCTTGTTTTTAAGATTCAGAGGGCACATTTTATAATCAACTTCATTTTTTCAATTTATTTAGAATAGTTAACAAGATTACCATCTGCGGCAAGAGCTATTAGCGACCATTTTTGACAATTTTTAAGTAGCATAAAGGTATAAATAAAAAAAAATAGCTTTCAAATAACTTTCAAAATTACCCCCATTGTGTTCACCCTGTCATGATAAGCAACGATCTGCTGGTTTCATGTTGATAACTTTGAAATATTGGAATAATAGGTTATATCAAAGTTATTTCACGACGGCAACAACGAAAAAGATATTTTACAGGCCGACTAAAAGGTAGAAATTGAAAATGTTAAGTTTAATTGTACCTAAGCAAAATTGAATAATAAATGTGTGTTTCTTGAAAAAAGGGTTTAATATTGAATTATGAAATACTCGCAGATGTGTTCAAGTAACATGTAACATGTAGATCTAACTTGCTAGTACAATTGAACAGAAATGCCCCTTCCCCCTCTAAAAAGACACAAATGGATACCTTAACCGTTCAAAACCGCTCTGAGCTGTATAAAATGCTAGAGCAATGGAATTTTGTTTTGCTTATGCAATATGTGCAAACAGTACAGTAATTGTTTTCAAACCTTTCAGAAACATTGGTTCCGGCGGTAACATATTTCCCTTGACATATGTTTTTATTGATATTGAACAACACATTAAATCTTTCATAGCGTCATTATGTCACATATGATTAGATATTCATTGTATTAAATCCTGTGAACAAAAATAAGCATATAAAAAGTGTGATTGTCCTGAAAAACACTCAACCTTTGGTATAATGTTTTCTTTTGAATATCTTAGTCATCTAAGCAGTAAAACCATTCTCTTTTTGATATGTTTCATATTGTCGTTTGATGTTTTATCTGCAATATACAGCCTTCACAACCTCTGATCCCTTTTCGAAATTCCATTCTGTTTTATTCCTCGTGGGTAGCTTGCCATAACAACTATTATTAATGAACTCAAAGGGGTGGTCAACATTTTTAATTTCGTTGTTTTTTTTTCACGTTTTATTTATTTATTTTTTTTTTTTTTTGGGGGGGGGGAGATTTTGTTTTCCTCTATTTCCTATCTAAACAGTATAACAATTTAATGTTTCATCTTGATAATGCAGCGAAGTGTATTAAAGATAAGATGTCATTTCTCTAGAGACTGCATGAGTATGATAAATAGAGGATATTGGATGAGTGTAAGTTCAATAGTTAATTTATTGAACAAGTTTTATAATATTATTTTATTCAACGAGTTCAAAAAATTTTTGAACTTACACGAATTTAATTGTCTATTTATCAAATATCCAAAATAAAGAGTATTTAAAGTGAAAAAGAATCATTTTTCAATGAACAGCCGGTAGTGTAACTCTAACATTTAGCGCGTCTTTACACTATGTTTGTATAACGCAAATGAGGTCACGTACAAATATATGCACGGTCGTGGAATACCGTTTTACTGAGTCGCAAAATCGGCACGGGTATATGATAAACAGATATATTCATATCATACTAACAATTAAGAGGGGCCTTAATGGACCTAGTTTCTCTGATAAACTATTGCTAAACAAATTAAATGTTTTGAGGACTATTGCTCTAAATCAAATCAAGAGTCACTGGATCAAGTGCAAGGACATCTGTGCATCTGTGTGTGCGGTCAAAATATTAAAGCAGAAGAATTCCATAGTTCATAAGTTGAAATATGAATCATTTTGTGATGTTGCAGGTGAATTATATGTTCCATGCGTCTTGCTATAATAGGCAATCTGAAGAATAAGCTATTTTACTGTGTTGATGGTTAAGGAAAAATAACTGTTCATTGGCAAAATAAGAACAGCATTAGTAGGTGACCATTAGACGGACGTGCATAAGAGATATCAGAACATCTAAGCCTTTTTCAATCGAAAATTGTCTTTTACTATTTTGATTTTAAGTCGATGTAACAAAACCTATATTGGATTCAATTTTGATTCTTTTTCATTATATAAAAGTCAAGAAAATTGTGTTCACATGCTGAAAGATTATATCTTTCTTTATGTCACAAATGCAAGAAATTCAATGCCTTTAATCCATTTTACCTGCTTTTAGATGTAATATTCAATAGCGAAATAACGCAAATGAAAAATATCTGAACAAATAACATTTCTTACAATAGACACGACATGTGTGTTATGCAATTTTCTTTTTCAAACTAAAATTTTAAAAGCATATGGCACTTTCGTGGCTGATTAAATTTAATTGTTGCATCGATATTTTTATAAACTGTACCTGAATTTCGAATCAATTAACACGTCTAACAAAAGAAAAGAGACATCTTGCAAAGATTGTCTGATCCCATTCAGCTAGTAATAGTTAAATCCATCGCACTAAAGTCAACCTTATGTAAAAAGACTGGATTTTAATTATGAATATGGTCTCATTCAACTAAATGTTTAAATCAGGGTAATCTTATTAATATGTCAAATCTATTCAAGAGCCTTGAATATGATCTAAAGATTCATCTCACTCAATATTAGGATCAGGATCATTTTGAAATAATATCTTAAATAATTATGCTTCTAAAATTATGTCATTCAATGTCTAAATCAGGATAATTGAAAAGTCTATAAGAAAAGACTATGATTCTTATGATCATCACACTCATTGTTTAAAGCAGGATAACTGTAAAGTCAACTTTATATATAAAAATACTTGAAAATGATACACCTATTCAAAGATTTAATCGGGATTACTTTAAAAGTCAAATCATTAAACATACTTTATAAAAATTAAAGTTTTAAGGTTAAAATATCTCATCTAGTTACTGTGGTGTTATTTCTGTTTTCAATGTATTCAAACGATTGACCTCATTCATTTCTTGAAGGAAAAAGAAAACATGGTTTCTTTTCAGTACGAGAAATATTTACAGTACTAAGTTAGTTAGACATTCAGAATTGTTTTTTAATTTATACCTTCGCATTGTACGAAACAATAGGATAAAAATTCATTTTAAATTTTATCTTATTGCTTTGGTTGCTAACTGCAAACGCCATATGAAGTTTATTTAGTTTTACTGGTAGTGGACCTCCTTGTAATATTTCAGGTTGAGCAGATTCATCGACGGATCAAAAACAAGCTAGATTAAAGGCTTCCTCATTTGAAAAAAATTAACTTTGTTTGCAAAAGACGAATACGCATTGGTGAGTGGTAAGTGGTAAGTGGTTAAAATTCAGCTGTCTTATCTACTCGGTCACGAACGCCTTGTTATAAATTTAACAATAATATACACAAAAAAATTACACCTTTGAAAAGACAACACAATTATAAATTACAGTAACAAAATAAAGAATTTTCGTAACGGAGAAATTGATCAACTTTTTTACAATATCTATGTTGCACAGCTGTCAACTGGTATAAAATTATGTGTGCCATATTGCATCAAGAAAACATTAAATGTTTTATCTTTTATAACAATAGACTAACCACACCGTGTATATCCAGTAACGCAAAAATGGGCAAATAACGCAGAAATTGTGCAAAAGTAACGCCGAATTGTGTGGCTAAAACGAGCACCGCGATAAGTAAATGATCAAATAGTTTTTTATTTAGCCGATGAGACGTAATAGAGACCATTTTTACGAGGTTACGCCGATTTCTTGAATGAAGCACCGAAGAAATCATTAAAATTAGCTAAATCCTATTTAACCTGCTTCCTTCATATAATTATACCAAAACACTTGTAGTTTGACAAATGCCTTATGTATACAGAACATGAAAAAATATAGTTTAAAATGTATTAAATGAACATATCTATTTGATGAAACACAAAAGTCACCTTCAAAATGGTAATCATGTTGTCTTTTTTTCACGAATAATCTTAAAAAGTAAACATATTCCAGATAAAAAAATGTATTACTGGTAAAAGTATATTGTCGTAACAGCCGTATGCGCTAATTCATTTCTTAATATTTGATTTAAAATAAAATATTTTGGTTCGTTTACTTACTGTGTTATTCGTTTTGTCAATAGCGTTGCACAGTTTCGGCGTTACTTTTACTAAACAGGCACAGAAACATGAAATTTGAATGTTCCCAGTTTGCAGGATGTGAATGGAAAAATATTTTAATAAAAACAAGTGAAATTATGTGCCCTGTAGGCCGGCTTTAAAGGTTGCAAATCTTTTAAACGCCCTAAATTTCACCTTTATTTATTTAAAGGTTGCAAATCTTTTAAACGCCCGTAATGTCACCCTTATTTAAAGTATTAGCATGGTGCTACAGCACAAACACAGTATAGATACAGGACCATGTTAAGAACTCAGTTATGTTTTTATAAAATTATGACACTATCTTGTCATATTGAAAACATGAAATTTGTATGTCTTTACAAATTTATATCAAAATTCCAAGCCGTCTTGACATTTTGTACCTTCGGACAAATTTTTCAAACGGTTAAAAGTTCGCGAAATTCTTCGCAGTTTCTTGTTGCCGCAAGATCATTAATTTCCATGTTTTGTGGCAAAGTTTAGACACAGTGTCTTAGAAGAATGATCTTCAGGTATTTTTGCATCTTTTTATTATTATTTAAACAATCTTTACAAAAAATTGTGAAGAATTCTAGTAATCAATTAACATTTAAAAACAAAAACCTTACAAAACTACAAAAACAAAACAAACGTACACACGAAAACCCAATTGCCACTCAAAGAGCGCACTAATAGTTTATATCTGAAACATTGATGCAAAAACTAGTAAGAACAAAAAGAACATTACATACCTTATTACAAGCACTACATTGCATTTATTTTATCATAATTATATTAAATGTAAAAATGGTTAACTTACTACGAATAAGCAGATAAAGTTCTCCATAGCCTAAAAGCTTTATTCACACTAAGTCTGTATGAGATATTATTCTTTACTCAGTAAAATCCATATGAAAGAAAGTTAGTTTTATCATTTAACATACACTTTAGCGTTTACTTGATCGTATTTTAATTAGCCTGTAAACATAAGATACATTTAAATGAAATTATGATCGAATTCTTTAGAACTTTTTTTTTTTGAGAGAAAAATCAAATTTAATCCGTTGAAACGATCTACTATTAGATTCATGCATGATATTCGAGTAAAAATATCAACAATATTAATTGTTACATTATAAAATTGAAAGACAAAAGATTGAATATGACTTTATTAGTACTTTACTTTGATTTATAATTTATCAGAGAAAAAAGTGGCTATTTGGAGCAACAAGCGAGTACTGGTGCACCTTAAACCGATTTACAAATCCTAATAGTGTTTTCGCCGCCCTTACGTCCACTCCAGGATTTTGTTTGGTACCTTATGGGTGCCCTACTTGGGTGTGTCGAGGGGCTGCGTCCTGTGAACGTCGCCTTTGCCTTGTTAATCTTTGTTATTTTTTTTAACCAATTCTACATGTTTTACGTATGCGTTTTTAATTTTTGTTGTAGACTAATACACGGTTCTTGTTTTTGATGCGCAGATATATATCACGTAGGCCTTATATCTCAGTAAATATCACATCAGCCAGGTCTTGCATATTCACCTCATCGTTATACAATAATTGTACAATAACACATGTGACTGCCCTATGAGTTTAAAGCCCATTATCCCTCAGAAATGCCGTAATGTTTACTTTCAAAAGACTTTTAATTTTGCTGTACTTCAACAGTATCCTAAAAGTAAATCATTGACAAGTTGTACCAACTGTTGCTTTGTGGCGAAATATACTGTTAATACATGAATGTATAAATATTTGTATGGAAGTCAAAATACTACTTTGTTTTACATTTTGCTACTTTTATGACAAACTATTTCACATTTATTTCTACTTTCTCCGGGTAGCAAGAATTATTATTCAAACGTTACTAAGTTCATGTTTGACCATTCTGAATAACTAAACAATTATTTGTTTCCGAGGCATAATGAGTTTTTAAATAGCGAAACTCATCATGTGAAGAGAGTATGAATTGTTAGAAAGGGATATAATTGCTTGAATGGACTAAATAAGGATATATTTCAAAGTCGTCTCCCTTTGAACGCCAAATATGCGCTTTGATGTAAGGGTCCGTGTTTGTTTGTCTCTGAAAGTTTGTACATTTCATTCCATTTGCAACTTATATGTAGTACACAAATATATGTAGTACTTGATATGATATTTTTCTAACATGTACACTATGCCTCTGGAACTTTTGAAATGTCAAATATGTGTTAAATGTTTGTTTAATAATGGATAAAGAGTATGTTATATGAGTAACGGCCGAAGAAATAGCACTGAACTTGCAATATTTTGTCGTTAAGTTAACACAATGTAAACATATTAGTATTTCATACAAAATACTACTTTACAGTATTTATACGAATAGCATTTCTTAGGAAAATTGTGCATTTTACTTTTCGTTGGTATTGACTCTTTTGTTAAAGGTACTTTCTAAGCATGAGCAACATGTGCCAACCAACGCATACAATTCCACCATTTACGTAAGGAATCAATGGGGGAATATAAATTTTCACTATAACTTATTATTTTGTATGGAAGTCAAAGGACTGTAGTGTCGACAGTTAGCAACTTAATTTCTGGACAGGCTGTTATGAAGTTTATCAGTTATAATGTTTCAACTTTTGCAAGGATCTGATAATGTCTGTACATACCATTGCAGAGGTACAGTGCAGTGATAATGACCGTAAAAGGATTATGTCCATAATCAATCACAATAAAAAAGTGACATGCACCGTCCGGGAATCGAACCCTGGTTGCCTTATTTACAATGTTACGCTCTGTTTATTAAGTTTACCGGACTGTTACAATAGAACTAGCCGTCCGGTTAGCTAGACTATGAATCGGGCAATCCGTGTTCGAATTTCGGAATGTGCAAGTCACTTTCGTTGTGATTGAACATGAAATCCTTTTTACGTCATTCGCAATATACCTCTGCTCTGGCATGTACAGTAGTAACAGTTCCTTGCAGAAATGAAGGCAACTAGTACTGGTAAAACTGGTAAACTGATTGACAGTCTGTCCAGGAACGATGCAATGGTTGAACTGTGCTCCGGTAAATTCGATGTGGCTTTCTGTCGTGTTCCGGAGTGAAAAATTCCCCCTACAAGAAAGCTTCTAGTGAAACCTTTTATTAAAATTAGATTTTGTTCAGAATTAGTAGTAATTAACGGCTTACTGAACTTTTATGTTTATTAATTATAATTTTTAACTTTTGTTAAGCATAATGCTCATTGTCATTATGTTTCGATATTAGATTCTATCTTATTATTGTACTGAAAATAAAAAAAGGTTTACAAAATGTTTACCCAATGTGTTTTTATTCAGTCGTTTACAACATACAGTATAGATAACAAATAAAACTTCAAGATATATTTAAGTACATGTCACACTGTAAACGAGTTCAGTCTTCGTCTAGCACCCTTTCAACACAATTTCGAACGCGTACTTCAGAACGCGAATTCCATGCAGATCTTACCACTTTATCCATGATATCACCGAGCATTGGAGGTGTGGAATAAACAAATAAATTACAAATTGAGGAATGTCCTTCGTAAAAAACAACATAACATGTTGGTCTGTCGACACATTGTTGGAAACAATATGCTGTACTCATAGTAAAGAATTTCATTGCACCTGAACAATCACCGGTCCAAAAACCATTGTCAAGGATAAGGAATTCATCCGAATACTTTAAACAGTCTGAAATTGAAATAATAGTTTAAATTAGGCGTGTTGGGTAAATCAAATTTGTAAATAAGAATACTGTTTTTTTCCTGTAAAAAATTTTGCGGTTTGGGTTTGATATCTAACCCAAAAATTTAAAACACTTAAAATAATGGGAAAAAAATCTCAAAACCAGGCTAAGTAAATTTACGAAAAAATTTCATGGGTTTGGGGGAAAGGGAAGGAAAAGCAGTTTTGCCCAATTTCAGGATATTTCTATCATTTATATTAAAGTTGCAAGTAGTTAAGATATTTTGTTGTTTTTTTCTTTCTTCAAAAACTTATTTTCTTTTGTTTAATCAATTACACATCATTTATGTTTAGGGCGATAAAATAGCCTAGTAGGTTGACAGTTAAATTCCGAGAACATTGTAAAAGGTAGACGATATTTTCAGCAAAATTTCTCAAAGGTCCATGAGTAAGAGAGTAAAATATAAAATTTGTAAATAACATGATATTATCAGTCTAACCTTGAATGCATTCAATTCGGAGTGTAATAAACTCCGCAAGATATTCTATATTAACTTATCGTCTGTATATATTTTATGCTATTGTAAAACAAACTTTGTCGCTAGAGATATAGATTCGGTATTTTTTATCATAATTTTATTTATTTATTTTTTTTAAATTCAGGTTTTCCCAAAGACACATGTCGCTAAGTAACAATATTCTTTTTTAAATTGAACTTAAGGGAACAAACTGCGATGTTAAACCTTAATACAAAGTACCAATTTCACTATTTTTCTGGCACGCTAAAATATCGGATTTTACAATAAAATTCAACGATGTGCATAACTAAGTTTATCATTTAATACAAACTTTTTACACAGACTTACAGAGATGAAATTGTCTAGTCCAGTAAAAGAACTATCTATTTACCTAACCATATAGCAAATACAGCTTATAATTTATGTAACAGATGTTTCTAACATGAACAGTATAATAAACATATTATGTTAAAAAGCAAGAAATGGATAATAAAATACAATACTCACGACTATGCCAGAATACAATATCACTGTGGTCTGAAATGAAATATTAAACTTTTTATTAATTTTAATGGAGATCTGAATTTCTGAGAATTCGTTGATTTTTCGTAATACAACAGGTTTTTTTAAGAACTGACTGTGTTTTTTTCTAAATTCTGTTTGCAATATTCTACAACTTGTTGGTGTTTACCTTTGCAGATACTTTGACGCATTGTACATCATATTCGTTAAATATATGAAGGCATATGTTTCTTTAATTTAATTTAAGATTCGTTTGGTATTAGAATAGACTAATCGAAAGGACAATGGCACATGCATAGATAACTGTCCACACGTTGAATTATTTAGTCTTACAATTTTAACTAAATTCCTAGCATCCAACTTAAGGTATCAGTTTCGAGCCCGCTGTATGAAAGTACCCAGTACTAATATCGTACGAGGCTGTGCCAAGTGTAGGATTTAAGCCATTGAGCGGTAGAGACATTTACCACTTAGCCAATCAATCAATTTTGATAGTTACATGACAGGGATCTAAATGATGGTGGTCCACTTTGATAATCGTTCACAGTTATGAAAGAAGATAACAGTTATCAAGTTGATAACACTTAAACATTTGAAAAGAATAAAATTTACAAAATGAAATATATTTATAATTACTTTTCTTCTCGCACTCGCAATGATGTCCAGAGTAGCCCGAATTTGTACAATTACATTTGACATTGTTGCCTTGGAGATGACATTGACTAGTTTGATGGCACTCACCTAAAACAATAGATACTTTATTAAATGTGTTATTTATGATTTGCGCCATGATTGAAACAAGAACTAAACAGTTTTTTTATGAATAAAAAATGAGATACTTTTCAAAAAATATTTGAAGTCGCTGGGTGGGACAGCAGCTGGCATTTGCCTAAAGTAGAGTCAGAAAGGAGGCTTAAATATCCCAAAATTTATATATGGCACGAACTGTCTTGTCACGTGGTCTATTTAAAAACCATACAGAACAACAATATTTTTTATTTGAAAGCAGAATAAATGAAATAATTCCACAAGAACTTTGTTAACCATTAAAAGAAGTTATTTGCGGTTACACTTACAGTCGCGGCAAATCAAATTTCCTTCGGTTCCCAAACACGCTTGACCGGATGGACACTACAAAATAAAAATATAGAAAAGTCTTTTCGTCCTTTATATATGACATTTCATCATAGAATATAAAAATGTCTTTTGCGAATAAGTATGTAAACTTTAAAGAATGCCAATAGAAGCTTAGCTCCTTTTGATTGAGCCTGTCAATGGACGGAATAAGAAATACAATTTACCTTCCAAGCACAAAACACCGAAGTGCGCAAAAATTCTACATTAAATATGCATTGAAAAGAATCTTTAATAGAGTTCATTAATATATATTCTCGAAATTCAATATGTAAGGACAAATTCGTCGAGATTTATAAATAACAAACTATTTAAAGACATATTCTTGTACTACATCAAAATTCCAACATACTATTATGATGATGAAATCAAGTAAACATATTTGCACGCAACACAGAACAAACAGCCTATAACGTGGGCTTACGCAAAATGTTTTAAGACACAAAAGTTAATTCCTACGCTTTTCCTCCGGGGGTAAAGGGTATTGAATGTTATTGACTAAAGTAAATATACTATACTAACGCTTCATTAAAAACAATGTTAAGGTTCGCATGACAGGAAAAACAGAAGAAGAAAATCTGAATAAAATTCATATTTTACTTGTAAATTAAATTTTCAAAAAGCTTCACTTACATCGCCATGAGTTGTACAGTTCTTGTTACTTTTTTTGGGACACTGATGACCACTTGATAGTCCTATTTTACTTGCCAGTGCTACAATAATCTAACATGAAAGAAAAAGAAGCAATATTTACATTATAAACTAATTAATGCAGTATCAAATTCAGATAATTATATTCTATATTCCAGTTTTGAAAAACAACGCCAATATGTAGCCATTGTAGTATAAACGGAGCTAGCTTACAACAGTATATACGGGTATATATATATATATCCATGCATTTAGTGGATTCTAAGACATCAAGAAAAAGCGAGGATAAATAAACAAAGGAAGCAAGCATGATGCTTTATTAAGTTTATATTTTGATCTAACCTCTCTTTCTCCTTGTCTCCCCCCAAAATGCTGATGACATCATAATTTTAATCATGTTGAAACAAAGGACATACTAAGAGCTTTTTTATATGTTATGCGTAGTGTTACACTGTGCGATAACGCTTATGCACGAAATTGTGGTCGGGATACTGAACTTTGGATTGAGAAAAAAAATTGACAGGCAAAAAGTCCGTCAAAGATGAAGTTAAATCTGGCCGACTTGCAACTGTTACATGCTAGACAACTGTCTCAAAAATCAAAGAATTAATTAAAACTAGTGGTAGGTACACAATTAGTGATATTGAAAAAAAGCTATTGGCATAGCGCCATCGCGTACGTATAAAATTTTGAAGCATATTTTGAAGATGCAAACTTTCTTTTGCCAGATAGATATCCAATTTATCGACGAAGGACCAAAAATAAGAACAAGTTCTAACCGCTAAGCAATTTTTTAAAATGGTTCCACATTTAAATCAAAGACAAATTGCAAACATTGTCTTGGCACTATTGCGAACCGGTAAGAAAAATTGGAAACAAAATATCGCAATAAAACACGGTAGAATGATTGAAGTTGCCAAAAGGTCTATTGAGAACGAAGAAGGTCGTTTATTACATAATTTTCTCCTGTGATGTAAAAATGTACATATTATGTTGCCGAAGGGCAAAAGTGTCACAGTTTGTGCGGTATTACCGAGATGTTATACATTTAATCTCTGAATCCATTAATGAAATTTATACAAAGTTCAAGAAATATTATAAGAGACGACGCCTTGTGTCAGGATTTATGTATTTTTTAATAATGCTCCATCACGTACATCTCAGCTTGTGAAGCGATTTCTTAAGTCGCATAAGGTTACTATCTTTTTTCAAACCCACCATACTTTGCATATCTTTACCTATGTGACATATTTTATTCTATTCCCTAGAGTTAAAAATGTTCTTATCTTGTTCATGTTATTGTCAACAGGATACCTGACAGACATAAGCTAAACAAATCTGGAAACGAAGTGATCCTTCGGAAGCATTAATCACAACAAAATTACAAGAGACTTATAGACTCGGTTTGATAGAGTCTGTACATGAGGGATAATGAATACGTGCAACATCCCTCACGCTCCCTAGCACCGGCTTGAGTGGTACTCAATTCTCAACACTTAAAAGTGCTGGCATCAATGATCCCGAAGGACCAGAAAAATATAACAACACTGAAGTGAATCACGGGGCAACTTTATACAGCTGCCACACAGTACTTGACCCCTGTCGTCATTCAATGTCTCAGAGATCTACTTAAACAAAGCATATCTTGCATTTCATAAAGGCATTCAGAGATTAAATGTATTTCAAACCGCGAAAATACTTTGAAAGGGTGTAATGCTATAAACTATTTGAGTCCTATGCTTTAATTTAAGATATCGTTACAATACACATAACATATCAAAAAGCTTTCGTAATATATGAATCGATTAAGTGAAATATCAAGTTTGGTTTTGGTAGTTACTAGCTTCCCGATTTCACTTTAGATATTTCGTTTGTTTTTCTATAGCTTTACGCGAATCTTTGTCTTTTAAATGGTGGCGTTTAATGACATTTAAGTTTTCCTCAGTAGGACAAACGCACTTTTGATTGATCTTATCTTAAAGTATACTTTTCAACAACTTAATTTGCTAACATATTTATCTATTTCAAGAAAACAGATTTTGTCATATTGTTAAAGAAACAGATATTCGTTTTAAGTCGTAGCGGACAAATGTTTGGTTATATGTGTTTTTTCTTGTCACGTTGCCTTCAAAGCTCATAAGGATATTGTCAAAGGTTGTTCTTGTCTTAAGGATTCAGAGGTCATTTATTCTTTTTACCTATGTTTTCCTTTGATTTGAAAAGTAAAAAGATTGCAGAAACCACACACGATGTTAAAGCTTGTTAACGGCAACAGCTATCAATGACCAATTTTGACAAAATTAAAATTAAAAGAGCATAATTTTAAACATGTAGCTTTCAAAATTAGACCCATTGTCTTAAAATTGTACCACTGAAACATTTGAATTATGGGCTACATTAAACTTTAAACAGGACGGAAACATTGACAACGATGTCTCACAGGCCAACAAACATGAAGAAATTGAAAATGTTCGGTTTAATTGTACCTGTTCATGGAGAATAGTGGTAACTGAAAGCAAGAGTCTCCGCCCCAATAACACAGGTAAGGCAGAATTGATGGGTGTTATTCAATAGTTCATTCTTTATTTTCAAATTGCAACTCTTAAAAGCATTATAGTACTTTCTTCGCAGATAAGATTTTATTGTGGTATAGCTATTATAATAAGCGGTAGGTGAAAGTTTGAAAGCAATTAACACGTCTAACATAAGAAAATGATCATCTTGCAGAGATTGCCTGACCCCATCCATCTCGTACATGAACTATCCCGCTAAAGTCAAATTCATATAAAAAGGCTTGATTAAATTGATTATGTTTTCATTCCGCCCAGTTGTCTTACGTAAAGTCTATTAAAAAAAATTGGAAACGATCTTTAAATTCATTTCACTCAGTATTTTGATCAGGATCGTTACAAACCATTACCTCATGAGCAGTTTGTGAAAGATGGTAGTTTTCATAGAAAAGCCTCCTTTTACAAGTTCAAATTGCTGTGAACGATAAAAATGCTGAAATACTGATTAAACTTGGCACACAAGCTTATTAGACCATAGCCGTTGTAAGAGCATGCTCAATCTTAAATTTCATTAAACTATGGCAACGAGGGGATATCTCAAAATTGCCAAAAATCAATATTTTGCGTTGATTTTTTTCTATTAAAACTGATTTCAAAACGATGTTACATCTGAATTCATTGAGATATAGTCAAAGGCTTTCAGTGCTGGCTACATGTGTACTTAAAATTGACCTGATACCATGTCTAGGACCTCACAAGTCCATTCTTTATGGCGTTGAGGGGGCCGGCAACCCCCTTTCTAAGCCTTCAAGCAGAAGAGGGCAAATCCATCCTTTGGAACGACAAGCAGAAGAGGGCACACACCCCTAAGGCATCCATGATGTATCTTTATGACAGTTATCGTTTTAAAAAAACATTTCCAATCGAAAACGTTTTAAAAAAACATTTCCAATCGAAAACAAGTGGTTGGGATCTAAATTGTACATTTTTTCATAATTTCTCAAAAGGGGATGTAAAAACACGTTTATATGAGATAAAGCGTAAAGTAAAATATACAATAAATTAACCATGATTATAATTCTAAAATTTATGTCATTCAATGTCTTAATTAGGATCATAATATAGTAGAATATAGAAAAAAAATCCACTATATTATGATTCTAAGGATCATCCTACGCAATGTGTAAAATAGGATAATTCTTAAGTTATATTTAAATATAAAAAAAAACTTAAAAAAAGAAAACACTTGAAAATGATTTTAATAAGGATCACTCTTAAAGCCAAATCTAAAAATTCTTATTTTATAATTATAATAGTTCATCACAGTAATTTTACTTTGGTATTCAATTGGTTTTAATTTTTCAACGGAAAAACACGGTTTCTTTTCAGTTAGAGTAATAAAGTTTTGCACAACTAAGGTCATCGACTTAGTTAGTCAGAAAGTCATGAATTTTAAATTACGGCCTTCACATTCGACGAAATAGTTTGATAAAATCACATTTAAAATCCTATCTAATTGCTTTTACTGACCCTATCGCGATTTTGCAATTATATTGGTAGAGGAAGACCTTAGTTGTGCTACAATGTATAATTTCAGGTACAAAAACGTGCACCTGAGTAGAATAAGTAGACGTCTCAAACACAAGCTAGCTGGACTGCTTCCTCACTAAAACGAATCAAATTTGTTTCAAAGGCTCGAACATGCATCGGTGAGGGGCAAGTGACTCAAAATTATCTTGACCACTCGGTCACTGACGCCGTGATATCAATTAAAATTTAACAATACTATACACAGAATGCCTTTTTAGACATTTACCCTTTGAAATGACAGTACAATTAAGAATTAAATTAACAAACTAAAGAATTTTCGTAATTCAGACAGGGAAATTTATAAACCTTTTACAATATCTTTGTTGAACAGCTGTTAACTTGTATAAACGTATTTGTGCCATGTTGCATATTTAACTGAATAGAATTACATGTTTAATCTTTTATGAAGACAAGAATTAGTTCAATAGACCGATCAATTACGATGACATGTCTCATGACATAAACTTTAAGATAATGACACTATTAAACAAAGACCTACATTTACGGAAGCACAGATGGGATATAAAGATTTTTTCTTGCTGTATCATGGCCATCAGATACTACTGCCTCCACAAGATAGATTTTACTCAGAAAAAAAAACGAAACACAATATGCTATCTCGTGCCCACGAGATACAACTTAGAAGTTAACAAAAAAAAATCCCTATCTAATGACCACAAGCTTGCCGACCAATGAAATGAACACATCTTAGTTGTAGTAACGAGTTAGCAGACAAATAAAATAGGAAATGTGTCAAAGATTTCGGCGCGAGTAGACTTGAATAGAATAGCATAATTTTATGGTAATGAGATAGAATAAAAAACTGATTGACCGGCTTACTCGTGGCTACATAGATAGCATTTTGTTCTTGTTTTTTCCCGATTTGTATCTCGTGGCCACGATATGGCGATTTTTTCCAAGTTATATCTCGTGGTTTGACTTTTTTGTCTAAGTTGTATCTCCTTGGAACAAGATAGCATTTTGTATTTTGAATTCGTTTTTTTTTTCGAGTTATATCTCGTGGCTACGGAAAATTGTGTTTTTTTTCTGAGTCTCTTGACCACGGGATAGGACAAGAGCAAGTATCGGAATGTCCGGTCTGTGTGTCCGTATACATAATTTCCTTGTCTCAAAATATATTGTACAAAATACATGTTAACATTGCAATCGGCATATTAAGCTCATGTTATGCATTTACATTTGAAGCAAGTCCAGCAGTGATGCAATGTTTTAATCATTTTGCAATATTAAAAGATAAATAAGGTTTCATGCCTTTGTTTTAATGCCCAATTGTTTGTTGTTGTTTTTTTCATTGTAGTAAATGTATTTATACTTTTTTTAAAAAGAACATTTAAGGATTGATTCATACGAAGGACCTTTCATAAAATAACAATCAAGAATCACTCAAGGTGTCCGACACGGCTAAAATGTTACACAAACTTGCACCAAATGTAACTATCAAATAAGTTTGACGGATTATTTTAAAAAGTTTTCAAAAGGTTTTTAGATGCTTATAAAATGCCAACAAGTCAATAATATAGAGGGAAAGACGGTTACACAAGAACAGAGCGGCCTTGTGGACTACGAATAGGCTAACATAAGCAGAGACTGCAACTAGTCTGTCATTGCCGTATTTCTAACGTTTCCGCTGTTGGACAGTATGAAAAGCCATGCGGCCAAGCACAACCCCCAACTACAATACTGTAACCCAATATATATTAGCGAATACAAATTTTTGCGTTTTGCCGAGTCGCACATATTCGCGAATATTAATTTCCGCGTTTTCTTGATTTCCGAAAAAAAAATCGCGGATTGGAAAGTCCGATGGGGCCGTAAAATCCATTAGCCGACTATTAATCTTTAATAATTGAGGTCATTATAGGTGTCTTAAATGGGATTAACAATACGCTAAGCCTTATATTGTATTGGTAAGTGAACTGTGATCACAATTCAGCAAAACATTTTCTCTATATATGTACATGTACGCATCGTTCGACTTCATTTTTGCCTGATCATGATCTGGAAAGCACACCAGAAAAGAAAAAATGATTAAAGCGGCAAACGAAGCTGTATTTGAAATTTTATTACCAAAGAGTGGCTAATGAATGCCTTTGACTCTGTAAAAGACAATTCAGAGCTCTTCCAGCTCGCTGGAAAAAAGCTGGACTTCTAAAATAAGTGCAAGTACTTTGTATGCAAATACTTAGTATAGAAGTGTAAATGTGAAGAAACTTAAAACTGACACATGCTCCGTATAGTACCCTATACGGAACGTGTTTGACAATAGGCCTACAAGTATTTCATAAACTGTATTAAAATGTGGATGTTTATTTTGATTGCTATATTGACATAGAGTTCTTTTGATAATTATAAAAAATAGTAATAGTTTACTTAGTTTGTGTTTTTTTTATCGCTTTATGGCAATATTCATAACAATTCATTACTTCCTAACAGGTGCCCGTAAAATTCGAATATATCCGGTCAAGTAGCTTTGCATGAACAACGTCTAAAATAAAAAATTCTCTCCAATTTATTCGCAAAATCGTGCGGACTTTTTAGCGCAAACAAATATTCGCGCTTCGTGGCCATCCGCGAATAAAGCGAATATCAATTGGTCGCGAATATTCGTTGGGTTACAGTATTTACGAATAATAATTATGACTAGGTATTAAGCATAAAGTCTGACACTTAGGCCTCTCCTTGCTGAATGTCTTTATGAAATTGTTCAGTTTCTATCTTGGAAACCCTTCACTAACAATTTTAGGGTTGGTTGTTCAAGTTAAAATTGAATAGGTCCGCCTCCAGTATAGAGCCTTATATTAAGAATTTACGGACCATCAAGCTGTTCTGTCTCTATACATGTCGCAGATGTAATGTAATGATGTAAGAGGCTAGTCTCTTTTGGTTCCAGCAGGAACAGGATAAATAAAAAATATGCGCAGAAGCATCAAATTTGAATGTTCCCATTTTGCAGGGAGTAAATGTCTTAATTTATATATATCAATATTTGATGCCGTCCTTCGGACAAGTTTTTCAAAAACAGTTTAAAATTTGCTTAATTGTTAGCTTTTATTGACCAGTTTAACAAGCACCTGGTTACCGCGCGATGACGAGTTTCCATGCTTTGTAGGCGACGTTTAGACATACTTTAAGACAAGAGTGATTTTCAGGGATTTTTTTTGTTTTGTTTTTCATGATTTTTTAAAAAGAAAAATTAATGTTTATTTAACAATCCTTACAAAGTAACGCTAAAACACATTCAAACGAGAATTCCTTTTTATATATCTATCATAATGATTACTGCAAGGACATTAAATACTTTATTACAATATGTACATTCTATTTTGAGACTCGTTATCTTATAATTGATATTAAAATGAGTAACTTACTAAGAATAAGCAGATGAGGTTCTCCATATCCCGAAAGCTTTATTCACAAGTTTGTATTAGATATTATTCTTTACTCAGTAAAATCCAACAAAGTTAATTACATCATTTAACATATACTTAAGCGTTTAAGTTATCGTTTTTAGATAGCATGTAAACATATGATACATTCAATTAAAAATGATCGAATTCTTTAGACCTTTTGCAGAGAAAAAAATTCATTTTATCCAATAAAACTAACTAAAGTATTAGATTAATGCATCATACAGGAGTACAAAATATCATCAAATACAATTATAGATATTATAAAATTGAAAGACACAAAACTGTATATGACTTTATTAGTACTGAGTAATATTTCTTTCTTTCTTATTTATAAGTTATAAAAAAGCAGCTAGTTTGGACTACAAGCGAGTTTTGGTGTACCTTAAACGGGTTTACACATTCTAAAGGTGTTTGGCTATTGACCGCTTCCAAGAAGTCGAAATAGCACATTCGATACACTTTCGAATAAAAGCACTTACCTTTGACCTGAAGACTCACACTAATACCACACATACGATAACCCAAGATAACACAAAAACTGTCTTCAGCACCGGAATAATGACAGTGTAATGCATTATAGAAAACGACCACCAAAAAGGCCACTCACTGAAACAAAGAACAGACAGACAGCCACCTCCAACAAAAAGGGGAAAGAATTAAACTATTATAATTGAGACTGATGTTAATTATGTAGTAAAAGTATATGTGATAAACATGGTACATAATAACGTGGTTACACGACCTCTTGAACGAATGGGATTAATTAAAATCAGTGACAGGTGAGTCAGAGACGGACTGAGTTCTTGTATTTCCTACAATACGTTGTTGAGTGGTGACATCCTTATATACTTTAAGTAATATGTTCAATATGATCTGTCCAGTGTGTTGCCATATATGTACTATCCGTCTCCCATCCTCTCTATGATTAATGTCATCTGATAAATTCGCGGTTGATTAGAATTCCTTAGAAAAATAGAATGCACTTTGTCAATCTGAAAAAAACTTTAATATGAAAAACTTCATTAGATAAAAATATGTTACATTTATCAAATGAGATCAAAAGATTTTTTTCTTACCTAATTACAATTTCAGGTCAGTATGAAACTAGATACTTAGATTAGAAGCAGCTATTACTTAATTGACAATCATCGATTTTAAATGACATTGTTTTTCTTCTCTATTTTATATATTAATTCACATTTGTAAACTGTCGCGCCATATGTTGTTACTTGAAAATTTAAAATCACGCATCATTATCCACTCGCTAACGAGTTCCTAAGTTTGATAACTTGATGTTTTATTTAAGATTGGACAACTTTTATTCGTATTCCAATCGGTCTTAGTCTAGTTAGTTAGGCAAATTAATTATTACAACCACAATTTCCAACCAAGATGCTTATATTGAGAATGATATCTATATAATACAACGGAACCTTTAAGGAGCATAGTGCCTTAGAAACCAGTTTTGCTTCTTTAAAAATGACATTATAGATGCTTAAACGCATGATAAATATAGCGGTGAATTGACATTCTTTGTGAGACAGTCATAAAAGTAGCAAAAATGTAAACATGTTTCTTCCATTCAAAATGATTAATCACTTTTAAAACTCGAATTGCCAAAACAGACACAGAAGCAAAAGATGGTTTAGGTAACTGGCCAACGAGAAACTTTAAGTAAAATTTAACAAAAAAACAAAAACTTTTAAGAACAAAGAAAGGTTTATGGGCATATTGGGTCTTAAAGAAACTTATGAGTGGTGGCCTAGTGGTTAAGGTATCTGCCTCTCAAAAAAGGGATCCTGGGTTCGAGCCCTACTCGGGTCACGACCACGCTTCCTCATATAACACTGTTTATTAGTACTGGATGGTTCCTGAAAATGGACTCAAAAGTGGTTTATATAATTTGCAAGAACTTGTTTGCAATCGAGCTTAAATAAATAGGTTTGAGCAAAAGAAATTTTTCTGTTAAGATAAAGCAATATCATACTGTTGATATTGCAATATACAATTAAAAAATCTTCAAGTACTTTTAAATAAATGAATTGTTACTGTTTCATATGATATAGATATATCTTAATATAAAGAAAGACGACAAGAAAGACACCAATATTAAAACCGTTATCATATTTCGTACAAACAGGTAATATTATCATATAAATATATTGACAAATTTAGATTGATAACGTTCTCCACCAACATTCTAGATCGGTTCTTGTACTTGTTTGATTGTTGATGGTGTTAAAGCCGATTTCAACACTTAACTATGTCATATATCGACGGCTGATCGACCTGACCGGCTTTCCCGGATAACTGGTCAGCAATTTCTTCGGAAGTGTCGTGCTACTAAACTAATTAGTTCTGAATAAGGAGTGAGAGACAAATGGTCATATGGAAAATAAATGTCTGATATCAGTTGTCACAGAGAAATTTTGCCTCGCATGAGGATCGAACAGACGACGTCAGGATCATTAATATGATGTTCATACTATTGAGCTAATCGGGCTAACTAACCTGCAAATTGTTGTTATTATTTTTATTACATTTACTTACATGAGTCATACATGCCTGCTGGGATAATAAAAAAACAATTATCATAGTTGATTCCAATTGGCATTAGTTTTATCGTTACAAAAGTAGCTGTACATGTTGTACTTTGTTCCTGCACCATTCAAATAACAAAATTGCATATAATGTTAACCAAAATAAGGAATTTTGTTCATTGCACATTTTAAGAGAAAATGAATACGAAATTATTTTACATAATTATTATAATATAATAGTAAAATGATTAATTAAGAGATGGAAATGTTTGGATAAAAAGGGTATTGAATTGAAACAGTTTCATGGCAGTTAGTTTAAGATCCAACATGTTGAATGAAATAATACATAAAATTACATAATTATTTCAAAATTGTATTGACTTCTAATATACAATATATTGAATGATTAAGGACTATTCTTTTTTAAAAATCAATACAATAATTAGCGTATGGTTATTAATTCTACACTGTCGTAATTCTGTCATCTGCCAGAGACAATGTGAACATTTTCATAGCCTTTCTGCCTTAAATGATAACAATATATACTTGTATAATCCAATATTAAGAAAAATATTACGTGAAATATGTAAATAATGATTTGATAAAGTCTCTACATGAGAGACAGTACGCTGCCTTCGCAGCTCACTGAATACACTCACGTTACTTCAGACAGTGAGCGATAGTGGAACATTCGACCGATGCGCTGGTGAGTGGAGAGACAGATATACGATTACGGGGACTCCTCTGATGGTATTTTTGTTTGTTTGCATTTTGTTGTTGTTTGTTGTTGTTATTTTTACATGACGGGAATTGAAATATTTTTTCGAGATAAAGATGTAGACCAGTACTTGTGTGTAGAATTTCAGCTGTAAAAAAATGACTTATAATAGGAAATTCGGCAAAGAATATCTCAAAATACGTTTTCGACTTATTTCTATGTACACTTCCTAAAAAAATCTTGTGCATATCCCCGGCTGATCTGTGTTCAGAAATTAAAATATTATGTATTTTTTGCATTTGACTTTATGCAAGATTTTAATTTCACTACTGGTAATGTTATGTTCACTTGCTTTAATATGCAGATGTATATATTAAAATATAAAAGCATATTCACTTATTTAAGGTAAAATCTTTAAAATAATTATAATAACACCTGAAGTATTTCAGGTATCGTTGTTTTATTTAAATTGTTGTATGCATTATATTAATAGCAACGATCTCGTGTGACTCGAACACGATAGCATGCTAATTATAGAATGTAAAATGTTTAACGACATTATTTATGTTAATTTACGACAGAAATTCTAGTTATAATCGTCTTATTATTTTAAGTGCGACAATCTTTGAACATTTTTCTTATTTCTTTCAAATCAAAGAATTTCGACGCGTTGTATCCCTTTGTTGGAATATTCATCATGGACACGGAGGTTGTTCTGAAAAAAGTTATACTAATGTGCATAATGTTAATGGTACAACAAACAAATTCGCAGGAAATATTTGATCAAGCTTTTATACAAGACTTAGATAGGTTTATTCAAAAGACAATGGTGTGCCGATACATTCCCGGATTGACAATATCTGTTGTAAAAGGTATCTGTGTTTTTATCTTATTATGAGCATGTATCATTTTTATCGGTTATGCAAGTCGAACGAAAGGAACCAGAGGCAGTTGAACTGCAGAAAAATTAACAAAGAAAAATAAACCATACGGGTTTTTTGTTTGTTGTTGTGTTTGAGTATATATGTGTGTGTGTGTGTGTGTGTGTGTGTGCGCGTGTGGTGTGTGTGCGTGTGCGTGTTTTTACTCTATTTGTTTAGACGAACGCTTTTTATGTAAGGTATGCCTTTAAAACTATTATTTAACCCACTAGTAGCATATTCCGCTTTGCCCCTTTCTAAAGCTGTCCGAGTTTCATTTCTTTTTATATTTAAGATTCAAAAACTTGGACAAAGAGTTACGGAACTGCTGACTTTTCGAATGGACGTATGGTTGACAACAGCACGCAGTTTGTTATTGGCTCGATTACCAAATCATTTACAATGGTTCTTCTAGGTATTCTGTTGACAGAAAAGGGGTAAGATGTAAAATGAGTTGATAATTAATTGAATTAATTTGAGAAGTAATTGGCTTTATAAAACAGTTTTTACTATCTATGTATTTGAAAAATAACAGTAAAAACAAGGGCAAAATTATGGAACTTTTTCCATTTTAATGGGCAAATAAAATTAAGAAAAAAGCAGAGACGAACTAGAGACTTGCTGTCACATCGGACGGGATTAGCACGGCTTCCACTTGGCTTTTTTGCCGGGTTTCCAGAAAATATAACCAGAGAACAGTTGACTATGTCAGTATAGTTTATCTCATACAACGATTTAATGAGAAATTGTCTCCTTATAATAGCCAGAAATCAAGATTTTATGGCCTTTCAATAATTGAAAAAAGTTTTAGTATATTATGTGAAATCATCGGAAGAATATAGAACGTTCATATTTATATTCAGTCTCCATATCATATTATAACTTAATGGAATCTTATTAAACAATGAGTCGTTTAAGTACGTATATAGCACTTTAGAATTCTAAAATAAAGGTAACATTTAAATATTTATTTTCGCTCAAATATCATTAGAGAAAAATGGTACCCTTTCCATTATTCATTGTTTGAAACATGTACTATATTTGATAATAGAAAGATGTAGAAAAAAATAATTTAACATAAAATTACAATGCTAATTTCACATAATCACAGAAAAATGAAGCATTTGCCTCAACAAACACCTTTTCGGGACGGGTATGTCTACAGTAACCTTCTGTATATGTATCTCGGTCATATATCAGAAAAATTAGGCGGAGACACGTGGGAAAATCTTTTGAAGTCTAAAGTATTTTTGCCTATTGGAATGACATCGACTCAAGTACTCAAACAACCAGAGGATTTGTTGAAAGATAACGTTGCTAAACCATATATATTTAAAGATAGTGTATTTCAAGACGGCACACTTGATATTTACAGGTATGTTTGGTGTATCAACACAATATTTATAAATTTAACTGAAAGGTTCATTTAACCACATAATTGGTGTGTATATCTTATTTGCATATCATTTGATATGGAATAACATGTTCGATGTTCTGTTTGCCGACACAGCTTGTTTAAAACATTCTGAATAAGATTACATAATTATTTTGTTTTGTTTACACGTTTATTTTCCCTATAATACAAAACTGCTTAATATGCTAATTAGGAACGATGTTTTATCTGGTGATATGAACGCATTTACAAACGTAATACAGACATCTACACATCATGTTATAGCGTCGAGACTGTTATTTGGAAATATCATGGCCTGGGGCGACATCGAGTGGTTTTCCCTACAGAAAATGTTCTCGGCCGTAAGGCCGAGAACATCCTCTGTAGGGAAACCCGAGATGCTGCCCAGGTCATGTTATGTCCACATAACAGTCGAGTATGATATACTATCACTGTATTATCCAATGATAAACATAAATAAAATGTTTGATAATACATAAAATTTAAATACTCATTTTCCTTCCCTTAATAGATTTATTTCCCCTTACGGAACCTCGATTAATTTTTATGGTACATGTTTTTGACCGATTTTTTATTTTTCGTATTGAAAACCCCATAACGTTAGGGCAAATCCGAAGTAAAGTTGGTATTCATGATCGGTTGGATGACCACAGGCAAACATATATTTCGGTAAATAATTGTGACGCTTAAGTATTACGCTAACCGCCGTTTGATCAGCATTTGTTTAAATGGCTTGCCAAAAGATAGAGTTTAAGAAACGATTATTGTTATTTTGTCGGGGACTTGACATTTAAAATATTGCAAGTATAGTTACTCATGAAAATGTTTATTCAGGCAGTGCCTTCCTGAACCAAATAACATTCAGGAAACAAGATTAAAAGGTTTATAAACAATAACGTTCAACCCCAGACAAAACTTTTTCTAGACTGACAGCCGTACCCCCAGTTCCCCATTATCTTTCCCCAATCTGAATATATTCGTTGTTTTTCCACCCTAAATTTTAGTACCGCCCAGTGCCCCTTGTGTATTTGTCTTCGGTCGCCCTTATACATGAACCAGATGTACTTAGATAAGTCAATTTATAATATGACAAATCAATTCGTTCTTTTATAACAACTTAGAGACAGTGATATACAGCAAATAAAATAGTTATCTACTACGAATACATAACATTATTGTTGTGAATATATACATTGAGAAAAATTAAAGTCGCACTATACGATTTTTTCTTTGGCGTAGATACATTTCTTGGCATAAAAAGTCGAGGCTGAAAGTGTAAAAAGATATGTCTTTGGTGTTTTTGGATGTCAAAAATATTATTTATATTGTAATTAAAATAGCCACAAAAACATAAAACAAATGAAATATGTCCATATATTTTAATGAAAGCTAGTGGAACATGTGTTATATAATCACAAAACCAACTAAAATTGTAGGGGAATATTTTGTTCCGGAACATTTTATTCTGATTTACGTACAATATTCATGTTTGTTAAATAACAGGGGCATTCTATGTAACAACTTTTTTCGAGATATTACTGTTAGGATATGAAAACAATATGTATTTACCACTTTTAAATGTTTACAAAATTTTTCATCAGATGTATACCCTTTAATGCTCAATCTCGACATTTTACAAAGTATTCATCGAAACAAAATAGCGCGGATCATAACTGCGGTAATCGGCTACCTAAAGTAGGCATATGTTTGCGTGGCTTAAGTTTACTATAAAGACAGAATATGTCGCGGTTTCCTTCTTAAAACTCGACGTTTTACGACAGAAGTGTGACAGAAAAACTCGAGAGTTTCTATAAGCCGCGTCATTTTATACAATTTTGACATAAAATTTCGCTTACATTGCCCATGACATTTGATAAACTGACGGTAAAATTTATCGCGGCTTTAAAAAAAGGCCATTCCGGCCAACATAAGTAACAGATCAAAAGATAAATTGCGAAAACAGAATCAGGTAATACGGATATGTCTGGCGTCATTTTCAGATGAATATTCAATTTTCAAGCATGTGCTAGGCTTGCGAGAAGGAAGAAAATAATTATATAATTTATGTTTCAAATAAATTATAATTATATAAAGTAGATTAGCAGACACACTTTATTGATGAAAATATTGAACAATTTTTTAAAGATATTAATATTTCTTTAAATTATAATATTTTTTTTAAATAATAACACATTTAAAAATATCTGAAACAGTTAAATGAATATACTATATATAATGTTTTGCGGTACCTATAGCATTTATCCAGGCGAGCCTGCCGGTGCAATTTTATCAACTGGGGTAGACATGGCAAAATATATGCGGTTTAATCTTAATAATGGAACAACCGAAGATGGAATGACACTGCTTAACCCGGTACTTCTAAAAGAGGCATACGCTGGTAATGTTCATCTTTATTTGAAGAAAAAATAATTATAATAATAAAATAATAATAATAATAATAATAAATAATAATAATAAATAATAATAATAATAATTAAATATATAAAATTTGTCATTCATTAATTATTTTTGCATTGTTTTCTTGTTGTTGTTTTTTTTGTTGTTGTTTTTTGCAATATACTTGGTTGATTATTCCTCTGATCTGGATCTGTAATCATTACTTTTGCTTATAACTGGCATATTAATCAAGCCAAACTTTGTCTATCAGGTAATGTTCTTTTAAGATTTGGCTACACATATTTGGCATTTATTACTTAAAGTGACATTATGCCTATTCAATCATATTTGTGAAAATTAATTTGAAATTAAGTTTACATTTTTCCATAATTTCTTTCAATTTTATTATTTAAGAGCGATCCCAATGAAATTTCTGAAGATATCCATAGGAATGTTATCTGTAACCTTTAATTTATAAAAAGAGAAGTTCAGTCTTTTGTATATTAATTCAAAAGCAACTTCTGAACAAAAATAAACTGTACTGTTGTTTTGTAGATTATAAAAAAGCTTATGACTCTATCGAGAGAAGTAGGCTATGGTATAAATTTATAAAACTAGGAATAAATGGTAAATTTCTGTCGGTATTAAGATCAATGTACAGCGAAGTGAAACTTTGTGTAAAACATTTAGTGAGCCTATCTGACTTTTTCAATAGTAATTTAGGTTTGTTCCAAGGAAAACTAACTTCGCCGATTTGCTTCTCTTTATTTTTAAATGATATAGAAATGCAATTACAGGACAATATTGACGCTGGAATAGATATTGATCAAATTGCGATATATTTGCTCCTATTCGCTGATGACGCGGTAATCGTCTCTGAAACAAGTACTGGGTCACAGAAATCACTAGATAGTTTATATTCTTATTGTTGTAAATGGAACCTTACAGTTAACATAGAAAAAAATAAAGTTGTAGTGTTTAGGAAAGGGGGGAAGTTAAGAAGAAACGACAAATGGTATTATAATAATAATGAAATTGAAATAGTCAAGTCTTTTAATTACCTAGGGGTTGTTTTCTCCAGTGGAGGGTCTTTTATGCAAGCAGCAAACACATTAGCCGGGAAAGGGTTGCGATCTCTACATTCTTTGTGGGCTATTTTTCGTAGTATGAAAGTTCCAATAAATATATTGTTTAATCTCTTTGATTCGTATGTACTTTCTGTTTTAAATTATGGTGCAGAGGTATGGGGTTGTATAAATTCAGAGGTAATAGAAAGAGTACATAAGAAATTTTGTAAATGGATACTAATTTTTAGCAATCTACACATACTCTAGCTCTTTAAAGTGAGTTAGGTAGATTTCCACTCTATATAGAAAGACATAATAAAATGGTTAAATATTTTCTGATGATTAATACCGTCAAGTCTGAAAATTGCATACTTAAGGCGGTTTTACAAGATCAAATCAAAAGTCTAGAGCTAAACGAATCAATAAAAAATTGGGTCTCATTTATACGCGATATCCTTCAGTCTTCTGGTCTATATGAAGTCTGGTTATATCCAGAATCCGTTAAAATAAATGTATTTGTTCCGGTTTTACGTTGTAGGCTTAGATATATATACATAAGTAATTGGAGAACGGGGTTGCAGATGTCAAGTTCCTTTAATATTTTCCGGGAGATAAAAGATACATTTGAGCAGTCAAATTATATCAGACTATTAGAAAATACAAAATTTAGAAACGCACTGGCTAAATTACGTCTCTCTTCACATAAACTTAACATTGAAGTCGGCCGACACTACAATATTCCGCGCGATGAACGTAAATGTACACTATGTAATTTAAACGACCTAGAGGACGAGTTTCACTTTGTTTTAAAATGTACAGCTTATGTCGATTTAAGAAGATTATATATACCCAGATATTATTATACCCACACAAATATAATTAAGTATATATCATTAAAATAAATGCAAAGTAGTAATAAGAAGATCTTAAAAAATTTGATTGTAATAATATAAATGTCGTTCTCAATCTGAAATAATTCCGTTTTTTTTATTTTTTTTTTTTATTTTATATTCCATGTAACTTTTGAGTATATATAAATATATTTCTTCCTTTGTTACATTCTCACGATACATGTGTTAAGGAAATAATAATTAATGAATTATATGTAAAATCTTCCATGTCATACCAATATATATATATATATATATATGGTCTCTTTTTCATTGTTAACGACGATGGGCTTGTAATGCTTAAGTCAAATAAAATATTTGTTCTGTTCTGTTCTGTTCTATATTCAGGCATATTTGAATTTTGTCGTTAATCTTTTCCAATATTTACTGTTGGTCAGTTACCATTATAACAGCCGACACTTTAAAATATTTAGCTTATTTAGTGAACTTGATAATGCAAAACTGAGCAAAATGCACTTTGAACATAATGTGTAAGTTTGTAGGCAGATGTCCTTTACTTCCCTTGATGTGTTTTAAACAAGATGACGAATTTCGTAGTATTTTTTATTACAATAGCAATTACTTTTATCAAGCAAACTTCTATTATAAAAAAATGTGATTACGCATGTTTTATCAAACTTATTTAGCATGAATTATTTACATATAACCATTTTACATATTATTATAGCAACTACACCTACAGTAGGCAAACGTTTTACAGAAAATTACGTTCTAACTCGTCCGGAATTTCCTATCTCAGACACAGCCATGGGTTACGGATATGGATGGAAAATAGCAACATACCGAGGTATGATTTTTGTCTTAAATTAAATGAAATGATCCTTTAATTATCGCAAAAGAAATGTTGTAACCCTGTTATAATCGTTGCCCTATCATAAATTCAGACAATATGATGTAGACTTTAAACAACATTCATAATTAAACAGATTGTAAAGGTTTTTTTTTTCTTTTGTATAATCGTATTCTAATGTGTTTTTAGTTCATTATAGAATTTATTTGACTATTTGACCCGTAAATATATGAATAGTTCATTTTCAAACAAAAGCGTCTTTTGCGTGTAAAACGTGTTTCATTTAAATCAAGCTTTTGTTCAATTCAGGTTACCGCAAAATATGGCACGATGGGGCACTATTTTCATATGTATCAGAGTTATGGATGTTTCCAGACATCAACGCAGGTATAGTAAGTTCGTGTGTTTAGTTACAGTTAACAGTTAAATTTACTGAATGTCATTGTTTCACACCATTATTTCTTCTAAAAGTGGTATGTCAAATAAGTAAGTTAACTCATTTTTAAACTGTTTGGTATCAACAAAAAATCATTATTCATCAAACCTTAACCAAAGAAAATTCAATATGTTATTATTTTTGCACTTTAAGGAGTCTTTGCCAATGCTAATGGACCTGGTTTACTAAATCTGCGAAGCGTTGATCTGCCTACAATTATGTTTTACATAAGTGACAAACTAATTGGGGAGAGCCCGTGGCTGAACGAAACCACAACATGTGAATATCCCGATCGTTGGCGTAATATAACTACCAATCCAACACCACCAGAACCATTAGGAAAACTAGTAAATCCTTTAGAATATACTGGTACTTATGGCAGCTATTATCTTCCTGCCATACAAGTCTCAACAAAACCAGGTTGCGATTCTTCATTATTGTTTCAAATGAGCCGGGTTGCAGGAGTCCTTTATTCAACGCAAGACAAAGACCGGTTTTTGATGGAAATAACATCTCCATGGGAATTCAAGATAACCTCACGAGATTACCATAACAATACAGTTCTGTACAACTCACTATTTCTACGTAATAAAGAAGGGCAGGTGAGGAGTATAGAGCTGACTGTAAATGTAAAAATAGTGTACACAAAAGATATAACAATCTTTGATGACCAAGTTTCATATCAAACTACGTCTTCGAAACAAAGAACCTTGAAACCTGATTTACCCTTCAAAACTTCGTATGTATACTCAAGTCCTTGATAGATGCTTTCTTTTCGTGTATAAAGAGGTGCCTAAGAAACATTGCACACAATCGAAAATAATAATAACTTAAAAAAAAAACAACAACAACAAAAAACAACAAACAAATGAAACATCGTAATGAACATTAGGTTAACGACCGTACTCAGTATGTAACTTCAATTTGAATAATATTAATTATGGTATTACAATACATTTGATTCGGTGCTACTATTTTGATACTCAATAAAATAATACATTAAGCAACTATGACTTTTTGCATTTAGCTGTGGTTCTGACAAGATACATTCACTTACTTAGATAGATGTGGAAATACTAAAGTGGTTTCTTGACCTATGTGTTTATTATGTGCTAAAAATGATGAAGAGGATGAATATCATTTTGTTTTATTAAATCGTATTTTTGTAATAGACCAAAGTTTTTTGAATTGATACAATCTTCTAATAAGCATACACTGCTGAATGGATAATTTATTAACGAAGGCTTTGCCTAGTTTATTTAGTGTAAAGTATATTTTGCAACGTATTTTGTTAAATCTAGTTTCATGCATAATTAAAACAATTTATTTAACTGTCACAGGGTCATTTTGTCTTTGTTAGAATACTCTGTAATTCATACCCATACTCTATATCATTCCCCTATCGTCTCTTTTTCAATCATTCATATCATTATTCAACTTCATACTAATAACTTCATTTGACCTGTAACACATTGACGGGCCTCATTCACTTCATTTTTGAATTCGGTCACGCTAACCTTAACGCATGCGCATAAGAAATGAGAACTTTAGAATGTTGTTTTTTTCCATTGACTCCGTATTTCTATTTTATTGTGTGCCAACAATATATTTACAGGTATTTTTGATGTTATAAAACATTGTAAACATGAATTATGATATGTGTATGTATTCCGCTTGGAATTATCAATAGCACAAGAAATGAGAACTCCGTATTTCTATTCTATTTTATTGTGTGCCAACAATATGTTTACAGATTTACAGGTTCTTCTTTGAACGCCCTATCCTCCCGAGTGAGAACTCACGTATATCCGTGGCATAACACTTTAATCTTACAACTTAATTTAAGGGCGAACTTTAAGGGGGCGGGCATTTAGATTTACCCTTGTCCGTCAGTCCGTCTGTCCGCACTCACAGGACAGTAATTATGTGGCTAGAGGGACAATAGGTAACTTTCTTTCTCTTTGATGTCATTCATTCCGTAATGCTTTTATGTGGCTATTTTCTTTTGTGTGGCTAAAAAGAACAATAGAGAGAACAAAAGAGTAGCCACATAATTACCCTCCTGTTAGAACGTCCGTCCGTCCATCCGTCCGTCCTGCCGTCTGTCCGTTCTCTTTTGTGTCGCATGTAACGCAAAATTATTTGACCTAGAGTAATGAAACTTAACAGGAATGTTGATCAGCATGGGCAGTTGTGCACCTGGGTATTTTCGTGTTGATTTATTTTGTTATTGCCCTTGATTTAGTAAAAATTTGCAGTTTTCAACTTGTGCCGCACGTAACTCAAAAAGTACTTGACATAGAGTCATGAAACTTTACAGGAATGTTGATCAGCATGTGTCGTTGTGCACCTGGGTATTTTCGTCTGGATTTATTTAGTATTTTTCGAGTTATTGCCATTGACTTAGTAAACATTTGCAATTTTCAACTTGTGTCGCATGTAACTCAAACAAGATTTGACATAGAGTCATGAAACTTTTTCTGAACAGAAATGTTGATCAGCATGTGTAGTTGTGCACCTGGGTAGATCCGTCTGGATTTATTTAGCACTTTTGGAGTAATTGCCCTTGACTTAGTAAAAATTTGCGATTTCAACTTGTGTCGCATGTAATTCAAAAGGATTTGAATTAGAGTCATGAAACTTTAAGGGAATGTTGCTCAGCATGTGTAGTTGTGCACCTGGGTATTTTTGTGTGGATTTATATAGTATGTTTAGATTTATTGCCCTTAACTTAGTAAAATTTTGCAATTTTCAACTTGTGGCGCATATAACTCAAAAAGGATTTGACATAGAGTCATGAAACTTTACAGGAATGTTGATCAGCATGTGTAGTTGTGCAACTGGCTATTTTCGTCTGGATTTATTTAGTTTTTTTTAGAAATATTGACCTTGACTTAGAAATTGTTTGCAATTTTCAACTTGTGTCGCATGTAACTCAAGTAGAAGTGGACATAGAGTCATGAAACCTTATGGGAATGTTGCTCAGCATATGTAGCTGTGCACCTTGAGTTTCGCTTGTGGATTTATCCAGTATTTGTAGAGTTATTGCCCTTGACTAAGTAAAAACCGTTTCATTATGTTGTGCTATTTGTTCCTTCAGTGCTTGAGTTAAAATCAACCAACTTTACAGGAATAATGATCAACATCACTAAATTACTGGAAAAATGATCAACATCACTGTGAAGCTATGCACCTGGGTCTTTGCATGTGGATTTTTTCAGTTTTGTTAGAGTTATTGCCCTTGACTTACAGTAGTATAAATTTGCAATTTTCAACTTGTTCATGCATAGCTCAAAAAGTATTTGACTTGTAGGCCTGAAAGTTTACTAGAATGTTGGTCAGCATGTGTACTTATATGCACCTTGGGGTTTGCTTGTGGATTTATTCAGTATTTGTAAAGTTCTTGCCCTTTACTTAGTAAAAGAGTTTTAGTTTTCAACTTTTGGCATATGTTGTCCAAAAAATATTTGACCTAGAGTCACAAGATTGACAGAACAGTGGCGTGTGGGGGCACCAGTGATAGTATATCTCTCACACTGTAACTGATATAGGCATTCTATCCAATTCAAATTATATATATTTCGTTTGTTGAATTTAATATATGCACGATTTCATAAGCAAGCATTTATTGTTACAAATATAAACGTTTACGTGAAAATATCGCACGATATTATGCTAATTTTAGCTTTTAATACGTACGACGAAGGTTATGATTAACGTATGTTTTGTGAAGAGACACATTGTCGTTAAAGATGCCAGTGAATAGCAAGCTTGGAAAGGTTAATTTTAAAGTCTAAAAAGAGGTACAAGTGGATCAAAACTGTTTCTGTACATTATAATTAATTTTAAAAAAGCCCTAACAGTCTGTGTAATTGTTTTATCGTTGTGAGATAGATGTTGGACGTTTTCTTAATATTATACAAGAAAAGAAACTTTAACGCGTGGTTTCCCTGTGAATGAACTTTCATCATGGAAAAAGGAAACGCTTGGAAACATTTTACATTATGGTGCATATTGCTGTTCATTCAATATTCCAATCCGCAGGAAATATTTGATCACACTTTTATACAAGACCTAGATAGGTTTATTCAAAAAACGATGGTGTGTCGATACATTCCCGGATTGACAATTTCTGTTGTAAAAGGTATCTGCTTCTTTTTGCTCCTCTTTTATATTCGGATATGTGTTCTATGATGGTATAGCATTTAATCCAGCCTTGCAAGAGGAACAAAAAGAAACATTATTTCAATTTGTACAAGTAAATGTCAGGCTTTAAGTTTGTCCATATAAAATACTTTGTTTTAGGCTTTTCATGGGGTTAATCTAAGTCCAAATGTCTCAACGTTTCATATGAAATTTGACAAATCTTACATAATATCCTCAGGTGCTAAAAATGAAAATTATGAATAAAATGGTGAAGTCATATTCTCAAAATTAGATTGAATATAAATATTTAGTGCGAGTCTCTGACAATTTTCAGTTTAAACTGTTGATACGTTGTTGTTTTTCTCCTAAGAGTTACATTTTCTTGACCTTAGTATGTGTACGTCAGTGTGTCCTTTAACATATCTCCCTATCACATCAAACTATATTAAAATACATGTAAATACACTATGTCACATATGTATAATCTTCCTGGCTATCAAAGATTCAAAAACTTGGACAAAGAGTTACGGAACTGCTGACTTTTCGAATGGACGTATGGTTGACAACAGCACACAGTTCGTTATCGGCTCGATTGGAAAATCATTTACAATGGTTCTTCTAGGTATTCTGCTGACAGAAAAGGGGTAAGATGTAAATTGAGTTGATACTGATTTTAAAAAATAAGTACATGTTGTTTGTATTTGAACATGTTCGTCACTTTTTTAAACTACACTTTTAAGTCTGTAAATGTAGTGCTAGCATAAATATGCTCAAACTGAAATATTAGCCTACAGCTTTGTTTATTGTTGTTGTGTTACCATTCAATAGACAAAAGTACAATCATTGTTTTTTTGCTTTTGTTCCTAAATTCAAAATTTGGCGATCACATTTATAATGAAGTCTGCTTAAGCCGGTGTAAGGGGCGTGGTGGGTTGCTTTAACTTTCTAGTACCATCAATGAACAGACTGAATCAAACCGAGTCTGCAACATTTTAAATTTTGCCGTTTTGGACGTTCTTAAGGGATTTTTCTCTCTTTATTTCAAATTGCTTTGTTAATTGTTTACTTTAGATTAAATTGGAATACAAAAGTACATGATTTACTTGGACCAAAGTACGAATTTATTGACAAATACAGAAGCAAAGAAATGACATTAAAAGACATGCTGTCACATCGGACGGGATTAGCTGCACTTCCAATAGTATTAGATGCTGGGTATCCAGAAAGTGTAACTAGGAAACAGTTGAGTTTGTAAGTATTTTTATCAAAATTAGATATCTTAATTTTATGTTGAGAATTTCTTTAAACACCAGTACGAAGGTATCGTTGGAAATATTATTACGGTATGTGACTATTGAGCTATTTATTGCTTATACACCCATCACGTGTCAAACAGAGTATCGACCGGTGGTCAGTTGCGTACAAAGTTCGCAGTCAGATATAAAATATTTGTTCCGAATTTCTTGTATTATCGAAATTATTTGTCCTTTGTTGATGCAATTTGGTAAAACTACGGAGGAAATATGTGTCATACAGACAATAAAGAAAAAAGATGTGGAAACATCGTAACGGATGGAGGTCTATAAGAAACATTAGGAAACAAATAAAAACAAGTAATAATTTCTGCTAAAATAGAACTGCGGTTTGGTAAGCTTTGGACAAGATGGAATCCCAGACACATGTTTCACCAAGACAAAACTCAAGACAATTAAAATGACAATATGAATGTCAGTGATGTAGAGTCAAAGTTTTTAGGCAAATTAAAGGACTGTCATGGCTAAATTGTAAGCATACTTATATCTTTTATTGTATAAATTGTTACTAAATGACCAATGGTTTTTGAAACTAAAACAGTTGTTCTCTTGAAACCTTAAATATACAGGGTAAATGTATGTACGATGAAAAATTACAGTAAAATAAGAACAAATTATATCATACTTATTTCATACAATTTTGTTACAGGAAAATGAAGCATTTGCCTCAACTATTTTCTTTCCGGGACGGCTTTGTCTACAATAATTTTATGTATATGTATCTCGGTCATATATCAGATAAATTAGGCGGAGACACATGGGAAAATCTTTTGCAATCTAAAGTATTTTTGCCTATTGGAATGACATCCACTCAAGTACTCAAACAACCAGAGGATCTGTTGAAAGATAAAGTTGCTAAACCATATATATTCAGAAATAATGAATTTCAAAATGGCACACTTAACATCTACAGGTATTTTGGTATATCTATGCTTATAAAGTACTAACTTAAAGTTGAAAAGGCTAATGATACAGATGTGTGTAGTAGTTAACATAAAATGATTGATGACATTCTTAGTATAGCAATTTTTTCAGTGTTCTGATTTTTATAGTGTTCTGATTTTTTACAATATATGCATATTACCTAATTAGATCTAATTTTGCTGAAAATTTTTCTATTGGATTCCGTAGATTTATAAATGCCTTTACTTTTTTACGAATTATATTTTAATTTATATTTGAATTAATGATGACCAAAAAAAAAGTTTAGCAAACCTAAAACAGTCGGTACATGCAATGAATTGGTAGTTACTGATTTAGTCATCAAAACCAATCATCATATAGTTTTACACAATATTTATACAGTTCAAACAATTGAGAGAATATATCAAAACATACAAATCTGAAAAGATGTTTTATATAACGTATAGCATTCATCCTTTGGAGCCTGCGGTACATGCAATGAATTGGTAGTTACTGATTTAGTCATCAAAACCAATCATCATATAGTTTTACACAATATTTATACAGTTCAAACAATTGAGAGAATATATCAAAACATACAAATCTGAAAAAATGTTTTATATAACGTATAGCATTCATCCTTTGGAGCCTGCGGTACATGCAATGAATTGGTAGTTACTGATTTAGTCATCAAAACCAATCATCATATAGTTTTACACAATATTTATACAGTTCAAACAATTGAGAGAATATATCAAAACATACAAATCTGAAAAGATGTTTTATATAACGTATAGCATTCATCCTTTGGAGCCTGCGGGTGCAATTATATCAACTTGGGTAGACATGGCAAAGTATATCCGGTTTAATCTGAATAATGGGACAACTGAAGATGGTAAAACATTACTTAACCGGGCCCTTCTAAATGAGGCATTCACTGGTAAGGTTAATCATAAAGCTGCATGCCTCCAGATGAGCTTAAATACTTCTAATTTTAAGAAATGTAAAAAGATTCTCAAGATTCAAATTATAATTTACATGTTATATGCGTTTTTGTAGTATTCAACAATATATTTCTACTGCGTAGTAAGAGCAATTGTTGCATATTCTGGCCTATCTTTGGTACCTTCGCAGATTTAAGGACCGTTTGCAATAGATACATTATTTCTTTATTTACTTGACAATTCTTTGCTTTGTATCAGATTTTCAAATCTTTATTAAAAGTATTATGAATCCGGAGGCATACTGCCTTAAATTCAAGGAATAATATTTAATATATATTTCTTATTGATTTCGCTTGATAACGTTTATTATTTTCGAAGAAAGGACACATGACTTTGGGTAATCAAGTATATAATCTCACGTGTGCTTTATCTCAATTTGAAAATACAATGTATATGGGATTTCGTTATCAATATGCGATTATAAAACCTTTAATCCATTCATTTGTTATAAGCTCAAAGGGTATGTTGATTTACGAAGAATTTTCCTTATATGATTCTAATTAAATACACTGAATTGCTTGACGTGTATGTATATATTGTGTTAAAATTACAATTAATTATTATAAAATAATACATTACGTACAAGCATGATTACACATTAATGATAATATACGGGTATGTATTACATGTATCATAAACGATTAAAAAGTTATTTTCTTTTATATTATGACAGCAACTACACCTACAGTAAACAGTCCTTTCTTGAATAGTAACACTTTAACACGACCTGAATTTCCAGTCTCGGATACAATTATAGGTTCCGGATATGGATGGCGTTCAGCAGCCTATCGAGGTATGGTTGTTCAGTTACTTTTAGATTAAAGCGACAATATGCATCAGCAATCCATATTTTTTTATTCATTAGTTAATGATGTTAAAATAATGGGTTTAGTAATAGTAGCGCGGAGCATGCAGTGTGTCGTACTAAAGGTAGCAAAACGTCACCATAATAATACCAATTGCCAACTGAGCTAAAAGTGCAAAAGATAGATCAGGTATAAAGTAAATGAGTATGTTTTTTTTTGAAACTGTAACATGATACCTAAAAATAAACAGGTTTTAAGAAATAATCATAATTACATTTCTGAGGCATAGTGGGCCTTTAAACCATTCAATCTAGAAAAATTCATAACATAGTATTATCTTGGTACTGTTGGGGATGACAGACCAGCCTGCGCATCCGCACAGTCTGATCAGGATCAATGCTGTTCGCTTACCAACTCTATTACAAGTAGAGAAACTGACTGCGAACAGCATGGATCCTGATCAGACTGCGCAGGCTGGTCTGGATCCATGCTGGTCGCAAACCCTCTATGTTTGTTTTGTTTTGACGCGGCTCATTTATTTTGTTTATTAACACAACAACGTTTCAATATCCTAACATTTATTATCAAAATACTATTTCCTCAAACAGCATATTGTTGTAATCCTTTCCCACCTTCAAATTAGGTTTCCGCAAAATTTGGCATGCTGGGGGACTTTTCTCTTATGTATCAGATGTATGGATGTTTCCAGAAATTAATGCAGGTAAATATTTTGGTTGCCCGTCTTTTTATTAATAAATATTTTATAATTTCACTTTGATACTCTGTAAATATAAAGGTTTTTGTTATAAATATAGAACGATAATAAATTGACAGTTTTACGTATTCAAATATATTCTTATTGTTCCATTATAAAACAAAACATAATAAATTATTTTATTGCTATTATATTCATATATTTTAAGTAGTGCATAAATGCATCATTTCTTTACTTAAAGGAGTCTTTATCAGTTCCAATGGTCCAATGTTAAAGCACTTGCTAAATTATGGTCTCCGTACGATTATGTATTACATAAGTGACAAACTAATCGGTGAGGACCCGTGGCTAAACGAAACAACAACATGTGAATTTCCACATCTTTGGCGTAATATCACTACAAATTCAACACCACAAGAACCATTAGGGATAATAGACAATCCATCAGAATATATCGGTATTTACGGGAATATCATTCTGCCTTCTTTAAATGTGTCAACAAAACCAGGTGACCGATCTAAATTATTGTTTCAAATGAATAGGATTGGAGGAGTTCTTCATTCAACGCAAGACAAAGACCGGTTCTTGATGGAAATAAAAAATCCACGGGAATACATGCTGAATTCACTAAATGTTAATAATGATACAGTGATGATCAACACAACATTTCTACGTAATCAAGGTGGTGAAGTGAGTAGTGTAGAGTTACAGTACGACGTGAAAGTTGTGTACACTAAAGGTATCACAATCTTTGACTATCAAGGTTTAGCTCAAGCTACTACAGCGACAATTCGAAACCTCAAATCACTGATGTCTCGAAATCCCCAAAAACCTCGAACACATACACATTGTTAAAAATGAGATGAATTTATTAAGTCTAAGATATATTTTAACAATATAACATGGTCAAGGTTTTAAAGAACATATCACAGATCTACTTTTCAGTAATAATGATTGCGTTTGTTTTACTGAGGTTATATAATTTATTTTAAAATGTATTAGGTAATATTCGTTATTATTACAGGCTTACAATGGATACATTTCCATTGGTTAAGATGTTGGAAATCTAATGATATGATATGATTTACATTACTTTAACTAACAAAAGTTATGTCCATGATCAAGTTATTTATGGTACTGTGTAGATATTTTACATTTATATGGTATATACATGTGAGGAAGCTATCCAGCTAGCTTACGGAACGTCGGTGGTTCTACTCAGGTATCCGTTCGTGCCTGAAATAATAATAATTGTTGCTTAGTACTGATGGGTTTCCAGCAACGGCTTCGCTTCCGAAAGAGTCGAACTATTATCGAAAATATAACTATGATTCAATAAATTCGACACTTCTTCTATTCATGTTATAGCTAAAGTTAAATATGACACTAACTCGTTGTTTGGTATTGTCTCACTCATTGTCAAATAAAAGACAATTATTTGTTCAACAGAGTTCATTTTCAATTAGTTGTTTCTAGCTTTTGCGCGTTTAGATATCAGATTCATTCATAGCATTGCGCCAAAGGTCATAAAATCTTAACATTATTAATCTTTATTATTTCATTGACAGACATAAAAACCATTACAAAAATAACCATCTTGTTGGAAAGTAAAGAAACATAAAATTATATAGTAGACACCTTATATCAATTATTTAGCAAAAAAGCAAAAATACCTTAAAAAGTTTGAAAAATGAATTATAGTTTTGGAAAAAACAAGGAAAAGCTTACCTGAAAATAAATATATACAACATAAATAAATAGATAAATGAAAATAATAAAATAAATAAAACAAATACCGACATTTTGCTCAAAAATAATTCTGGAAAAGTACTGTAGGGTTTTAACCAGCTTGTAAATCTAAGATGACTTGTGCTAAGAAATGTGGAATGTGTTTCTGTATATACACGCATTACATATTTTAAAAATTGACGAATATAAATTACAAGAAGAACAAAAAATCAAAACAAAATCAACATCAACAACCCACCACACCCCCACCTCCGGTCAAACCTCATCTCTACCACATATAAACACCCCAATGGTGCAGAGATGCCTTTTATGTCAAAAGTATTCTAGACATTTTGGTTAAACTTTTCCTAAGAATTATATAACAGTTTGATTACAGCCGTGTATTATAAGATAGTATCCATGATTGATAAGTCTGAGAACTATCATTCCATCATAAAGATCAAACAATTTAAATATCAACGATTCTTTTTCAAAACATTACATGACGATAGGTCTGTAAGTGTTTGATTTTACACCCCTAAGGAATATCTATAGTTGACAATGCGCATAGAAAAGAATAATATACTACATGTTTGACAACTAGAAACAAGATAAAAAGAAAAAAAATTAGAAATTGATAAATCATAAATTCCCTGACACTATGATCCTAGGTATAAATGAAATTAGTTGTGTGATAATTTTGTTTTAATCCCGTAAGAAATGTTGTCAAAGAGAAGAGTTATCCCAATTATCGTACAATAATCAGGATTCCGAGAAAATATTATAGAATTTCAATATTAACAAGATCAATTGATGGCGAAAGTATTTGTTGTTATCCGACGTGGAAAACAGGAATACCGCACAGAAGAAATTGTTATCAGGCAGCTTTGACAGCATCCGCCAGTCGTATGATGTGACATTTTGTTAAAGTATGCATCAGGCTAAAGGTCAGCATCTGAACTAGTTATAGCCAATGTGTGATTGTTTTTTTTATATTAACATAATTGCATAACTCAGTTAGATTTTAATAAATAAATTTGATTTTTTTAACTTTTTTTACTAGGTGTTTAATTTGGTAATTAATTTAGTTAGTTATAATTGGTTTGTTTGTTAGTCAGATTTTTACCTGCCTTTACACTTTAAAAATCATAAGATGACGTTCCAGTTTCGCCGGTGGAAGAAGACCTTAGGTGCCCATTCGTGCATTATATTTACCACGAGCACGCACCTGAGTAAGTGAAACAACATTAACCGCTCACAAAAAAGAGGCAAAAGAAAACGGAGGACGAATTAAATGGAAAGCATGTATACAACATCCTCTTGGTCTGACAGAATACTGACACGCAATATACGTGGAAATTAAGAATGTTCTTGAGCTAACTTTGTTTAACACTTCACATAACAATATTGTTAGACAAAATGGAATTTTGCATGCCTCATTTATTCACTAATGTATGTTTGCATGCAACATGCACAAAAGAGTAATAGATTGGAAATAATTCTGCATAAAAATATATATTGTAAAAGGCATATGCAATTTTCTGGTATATCAAACAGTAAAACCAACTGCTGATAAGCATGAACACGTCGAATGCAAACGATTTGAAGACTTGTTTTTAAACCTTTTATTCAGGTATGTTGAAACAAATAGTAAAACACATGTAATTTCTATTAAATTGTTAGATTTGATACAATAAAAATGCAATACGTAGTGAAAATAATATAAAAAACATAGCTATTGGACTTTTTTTTTCTTGCTACGAATATTGTACGGACGCATTTTAAGATAAAACTGATTCAGAAAGACAGTTAAGATCTTTGCTTATTAACTTATTTCAGGGGCGTCCGTGGCCGAGTGGTAAAGGTCGCTGACTTCAAACCACTTGCCCCTCACCGCTGTGGGTTCGAATCACAACAGGGACTTTGGATTCTTTCATGTGAGGAAGCTATCCAGCTAGCTTACGGAACGTCGGTGGCTCTACTCAGGTGCCCGTTCGTGCCTGAAATAATGCACGGAAGGGCACCTGAGGTCTTCCTCCACCAGTAAAGCTGGAACGTCGCGATATGACCTATACTGTGTCGATGTGACGTAAAACCCTAAACAAACAAACAAACAAAACTGTTTTTTTTTCAATAGGTGAAACACGTCACAAAGAAGGCATTTAAAGTATAACCAAAGTTTATTAACAGAAATAAACATAATAGAGTTTTATTTTTCTCTCATTATACAAAATATAAAGAGAAGAGGATATTCAAACTTTTATTCTATAAATAAAGGATTTTTCTTCTCATTAAGGGGTATGAAAATAAATATTTCGTACGTGTTTGTAGCCACGAGTGAAATATGATGCATGTAATTTTCATACAACAAGACGGAAACAAAAGATCAATAGGTAAAATCTTATATTGAAGACTATTCATGATAAGACAATTTAAACTCCAAAATCAAACCTATCAAACATCTACTCCCCAATTGCATAAGTTGTTGGAAATAATCATATAGAATAGAGAAAACGGAATCCCTTAAGTACAACCAAAATAACAAAATTTAAAATGTTGCAGGCTCGGTTCATGGACAGTATTGGAACCTGCAAGTGACGCCCATATAACCGATTATAATATTCAGCAGACTTTTCAATTAATTAACATTAAATGGAGAAATTTGAATTTAGAAACGATTTATCAATTAATAATTTTGATGTACTAATAATGGTCCTGGGGATATATAGAATACCATAAAGCAGTTATAAATTTCTTGCAAAAATGTTAATGCTATTCAGTGTAAATAATTTACATTCCTTTTGCCAGACTGATACAAATGAACGACTCGTGCGATGGTGTATGGATATAGTTTTCTCATTATTTTCAAATATCAATATTCCTCTTAGCTACCTATTTAGCTCTAGAGGAAGAGCATCGGCTCTGTAATACACCTTCCAGCTATACTGGTAGAATAATACCTCACAAACGGGCACCTGAGCAGAACCACCGACGTACCGTTAGGTAGTTTGGTAGCTTACTTACACGAAAAAATATAAAGTCCCTGTCGGGGATCCAACCTACACCAATGCGAGGCAAGTACTCTGATCTGGCATTGGCGATAAATGAATCGCGTGCTCCATATTTACATAATTTTATCAATAAATTGTGGAAAAAAAAATTTTTGCAGTTATGAAAGACGTAAATCCATACGCTACTTTAAGAAAATGGTTACATACAAAATGACTTAAATTTCTATGAAAATTAAATTCTTTATTGATGTAAGTCATATAAAATATGGAAGAATATCGTACATTCTGCAAGAAAATATACTTGGCATGTGCTTGTGGTTCAGAATGGAATATCCGTCCAGCGGGTATACATCAATAGGCGCCAGCCCGACAAGCCTCGTTTACTAGTACCTCGAAACGGATATTTCGTTCCGAACTGCAACACATGGCAGTTATTATCTATAATAATTGTGCGATTGCACGATGATGAACTCACGGTAGTACGATGGCCAAATAAGACATGATTTAATACGACCTATAAAAATCAATCAGTGGGAAAATTTAGCAATAAAATCTACACTGTAAAAACGGGCGTTTAAGTTTTAAACACATTTCGAAACACTTTTCCTGTTACACTTTGGAAACACTATAGAATGGAACACGTCACATGTTCACGAATACACGCACAAATGTTTCCTGTTTTAAACGCTTCCTGGTGTTTCAAACTGAAACATGTGACATGTTTCATAGCAGACACTTGTAATGTTACAGTTTTGGGAACACCTGAACATGTACAATAAACACGTTTGGTGTTTCAAACTGGAACTTGCAAAATGTTTCCAAACCCACATGTGCTGCTTTCAAAGCGTTCCTGATAAACATGTCACATGTTTCAATTTCAAATGCATAACGTGTTACTGTATATGTTCAGGTAAGATCAAAACAACTAAGGAAATACATGAACAGCATATTGTTACTACAAAAAATGCTAATGAAGTATTTTTGGAATTTATTTATTATAACATTATACAGTTTTTTTCATTTTTAATTTAACATAATTCAAGAATACAACTTTGCTAAACACAAGCATGAAATGAGCTGTTAGAGCGACAACATGCCTGCACTATTCTCAATGCATTTACTCCGAAATGAGGCATAATTACCTTGAATTGGTATTGGTAAATAATATTTTCGTATCTAACACATGTACAAAGTTTCGGCTAAAATTCTATGACTGGAGATACAACTTTCACACAAAAAAATACATAATTTTATATATGCAGAATTTTCTAAAAGGAACACCATTTAGTCAAAATGCAGAACAGTTATTGGTCTTTTTATGTGAACTTATATTTGCATACAAAAAAATGTGTGAAGTTCCAAATAAATATCAGGAGTCCATGGTTGTCTTTCTTTGTCTAAAATACTTAACATTGTGTCATGCAACACTAATGCTATAATCAGCTGCTAAGCTATTGCCTTACCATTTTTTAAATAATCAAGCTAAAAATTATGACATCATCAAACATCTGTTGCAAGAAATATGAAATTATTAATTTGTACTAAAATAGCCAGATTGCTATTGGTTAAAATCGCTTTTTATATAATATGTGTGTTTTTTTCACGAAATCTTGTGCTATTTATATAAATGAATTGTGCAACAGTCATCCTCTGTAATTAGCATAGATGACCAGAAGCAATATATTAATAATTCATAATCATCATTAAGTACAGTCTGTGATAAACATAAAATAAATAAATATAATAAAAAAGAATGTACTTAGTAACTTTTAATTTACTTGCAAACCAAAAAAAAATCTACAGTTAATGAAACAATTTATCTTTGTAACAAAACATAGGATAAAACAATTATGAGTTTAATAGTCATTAAATATGATGAGCTGTTCACCCCTCAATAATGCCTTCAGCTGGCAAATATCACATCTAATTAATGAAATCAGTTCTTCAGAAATACTTATGATGAAGAGTGTGAATAGTTACATATTAAGGCATCATTAACGACTCTCAAAAAAGATTATAGTTAAGTTAAACATACTTCTGAGGAAGTGTAAATTGATAATTATCTAAATGAAAGTAAAGTTCAACTTTTCCTTTTATGATAGCTGGATCACTTAAGTCACATTGGCTTCTTTTCTTTTCTCTCCATTTCCGTGTTCATTCTCTTTAAATATTGAACAAATCCATAGCTGTTATGCCCATCAAACTGCTGCTGAAGTACAGTTTGCTGAAGGAAGCAAAGCACCTGTGTATACATACATATTTCATTCATAGTAGCATATTAGCATAAGAAGTTAATCAAACCAATCAACACAGCTATAGCCTCTATTGAATCGGCTGTCTTTAGAAGAATATGTGTACCATCAGAAACAATAGCCATGTTCACAATACATTCATCTTTCTCAATTGCAACCAACTTTGGTGCCGACTCTGGCGCTGAAGAAGATTCCCATCATCTTCAAACTGAAACAAATATCGATAATTTTTATACATCAGTTTTTAAAAAAACAAACTGTTAGCATTTGTATAAACCTTAGATATCATTCAATGTTAAAAGCATTTTTAGCGTTATCATCAAGCGACAACTACCATGGAAATTATTTATTCTTTGTTAGAATAGTTTACCTACATTAATCTGTTTTGAAATAAAACTGGCATTAATTATTTATCAAACAAGTGTGCATGTCAAATATGACATGCTGATAATTATGGAAATAAGATGTTAAGGTATATTCCCTACAAAGTTTTGATGTAAAATATGTACACAGATGTACAGACATGTCAATCACTGAATCACAGCTGGTCACATAAAAAAGAAGTTTTAGGACATTAAAAGATTTGAATAACTAACACCCTTACCATAATTATTTGCATCAAAGGCTGAGTCTTCTGACCCTTTCCTTTTCTGTAAGCTGTTTCTGATTCTAAAGCCTTCAGCACTGCCACATTAGAGTCATCCTGAAAGCACAATTATGAACAGACTAGGCTAACAGAAAGGTGCAAAACTTCAGATGAATAAGCCACGCCCATTTTTAACGGACTTTTTTCAATTGCTTATATTCTCATTTTCACCAGCATGTGAATTCTACAATGTAATCTCATACCCTTATACAAGTCCTGACTCAAGATGCGATATTTATTTATTATTTCAATTTCGATTTCAATTACGAATAAATAAGTTAGCGAATAGTTTTAACACCAACTAAATGAAGTGACGTCATAATTTACATTGCAAATGACATCATCAATGTTCATGTCATACTATACATAATCATAACAAACAGGCTAGACGATTTTCTTGTTATCTTTACTTTGCCGGCAAGCCTCGCCCTTTCTAGTCCTTGATAAAATTAATATCAAAAGACAGTAGCATGTTATTCTCCAGATCTATATGTTTTGACTAGATATTCTTGAAATACCAAAGTGGGTGGGGAAATCAGTTTTATGGTTAATGAAAATGCTTTTTTGCGCCCGTCTTAAAAAGATCTGCCTTTTCAACCTTTGAATTTGATCTACAAATACATAGGTACATCGTACTAACCTTTTGCTGTTGTTTTTCTATGTTTTCCTTGCTAAATTTACGCAAAAATGAAGAAAGGTAAACTTTGCGCCAAAAAATTCGGCTGCAGCAGGAGAAAGGAAGTTAAATTCGTAAACACCTCGGATAATATCAGAAGGTGTTCTTGATCGGCATTCATGACATACGCAGAATGTTCGCCCTGAAACACCGGCGTTTAAGACAGAGACACTTTCGCATTAAATATTTCTTAACATTCGTATTGTCTTATCCTTACTGTTATGTTTCTGTTTACTGTTATGTTTCTGTTTTGTTTGTTATTAATAATCAAAACACGAGATGAGCTTATGACATAAAAGTAAACACAAACGTTTCATGTTTGCACACAGGCATGCCAATATTAACACCAACCGTTTAAACACTGCACATTACTGTTTTAGTTATAAACACCCGTTCCATAAAGAAACGCATGTGTTTTTTTACTGCACACAACGAGAACACATACGTTTTGTTAACAAACACCTGTGGAACGCGTCAGGCGTTACTATTTTTTACAGTGTATAAAATATTGTTAACATATTAATCATAAATTATGTATTTTACAACCTCGCGATGGTTCAACATGGGACGAATTCCTTGTTGGTAAACATTTAAATCATTTTGTTACCAGAAATAGTGTTCTGTACAAACAGTTTCGAGTATATTAACAAACAACTTTATTTTAGTTGAAAAAATAATAAACCAGATTATGCAACCTATAATTGCAACATTTTATGTGAAAGCGCAATTATAGATCCTAAATAAATATAGACAAGTGGACAAAAAGTGGCATTTGCGCTCTGAAGAGTTTGCCTCTACGTTTTAAATCTTTATTGCAGAAAAAAAACTGCCACACATTAGAAGGACATGAATTATCCAGGCAGCAAAGGTGTCCCTCCATAGTACAAAATTATTGCGAAATAGGACCATAATTCATCCAAAAATGATCAAATATCACACACACCTATTTTATGCACGATTTCAGATGATAAAGATGGTTCAGTGAACGTTTAGTTCAAATCCCTTATGTAAAAAAGACAGGTTTGAGTCAGACTTCCCGAAAAAATCCTTTCCTTGCCTTTGAAAACCTTGTTAACGCATAATGAGAATACACCACATCTTAAACCGTTCGTAACGTTCGAATAACAATGGTATAGAATAGCACTTTTGATATCAGTTTTAAACGTTATTTGAGGTAAAGATGAATTTGCAGTTTGTTCATTACGGAGGCGATGAGAACCCGCTCGTTTTTATATATTGTCAACATAATGAGAATGCATCGCATCGTAAACCGTTCGTCACTTTTTTTTTGGACTTAAAAGTATAATGGAATAGTTTATCACTTTTCAAACCAGTGAATAACATTATTTTAGTTATTTTATGTAAAGATTTATTTGCAGTTAGTTCAGTACGGAGGATATGAGAAACCACTCGTGTTTATATATTGTAATGTATAGATGTATACAAGTCACAAATAAACTCTTATTAATATAATAAATAACACCGTTGTCAGTGAGGTTATCGTACGATACCATGCTACTTTTAGCACTTCAAACTTTTGATAACGTTATTTTGAAAGCGCCTGATGTACCTTTTTATTCGAGATCAAGTAGTCTAGAGATAAAATTTAGATTTAGAATGCTGATGAATTACAATTTCGGATAGGCTAAAGTCTTATTGTAGATTAAAGTACAAATCTTAGTGGATCAAAATTTTTTGTTTACATTGAACTTCATTTTGAAAACTTATTCTGTATGTGATAGTACTTTAAAGTCAGTTTTCATCGTCGTAGTACTTAGTGGCATGGTTGATCGAATGATTATCTAATTTTGTCTTAAATACGCAAAGGGATTTCGACGCGATTTTCTTTTAAATAAATACTTGTTTACTTTTTCATCATGATAATGAGGGACATTCTGAAGATAGTTATGTTTTTGTGCATACTTAAACAGTCATATTCAGACAATATATTTGACGAAGCTTTCGAGCAAGACTTAGAAAGGTTTGTCGAGAAGACAATGGAATGCCGACACATCCCTGGATTGACACTATCTGTTGTTAAAGGTATTTCATTTTGTTTCCGATTCTCGTGTTATATTACTATAGCCGTTGCAGTTGTATCATTTATCTCAGCCTTGCGAGTTTTATACAAAGAAAGAGGGAAATGAATGATGAACTTGCACTTGCCAATGCCCTTAATGAAAAGGCTGAATCAATCTGACAGATAATAATTCCTTTTAATTTTCGGATGTGTACGATTTTCGTTTTTTATTTTTCGTCTCTATTTTATTAGTTTGATTCACACATAATAATATTTAAAAATAAAGAAACCATAGAGAACGGTGTGAACTACTAAGCCAAATCGAAAATGTTGAAGATTCAGTTTAATTTAACATAGTTATCATTTTATTAGAGTTATGGTTGCATGTATATTTAAAACAAGGTACTTTGAACGAATAAAAATGACGCATTTATAGGTATGTTATATTAAAGATACACTACAGTGATAAACTATATTATAAAGTAGATTTTCTTTAAGCTTCACCATTGAATTATTAAGTAAAGGCTTTAAGCATTAAAAGTTTCTGCACTGTGCTGGCAAATAAACATTTTTATATATACTTTTAATGAAAAACGATAGCATATTACGAAATTACTCATAAATCTTATACATGTATTTGCTATTGTCAGTTATTGTTTATTATTTACTTAAAAAGATTCAAAAATTTGGGCTAAGGGTTACGGAACAGCCGACTTCTCGAATGGACGTATGGTTGACAACACTACACTATTCGGTATTGGTTCGGTTTCCAAATCATTTACAATGGTCCTTCTCGGTATTCTACTGACAGAAAAGGGGTAAGGATGGTTATTGCCAGCAGGGTTGATATCTGAGTTTATTTTCGTTTTAATTTATTTGATTATATTAAACAATATAAGGGACATTTGACAGAACTTACATTCACATGTAAATGAAATAAATAAAAGTATATGAACGGTTCAGTTAATGTATTTTCAACTACAATAAAACGATTACTATACATTTCATTGGTCTTTGTTACATGTACGTCAGACCAACACATTAGGGGTCAAAAGATGAGTGCACAGTTTTCTGGTGTAGGAAGACCTCAGGTGCCCCTCCATGCATAAGTTTATGCAAAAACATTGTGACGTTCTGTAAGCCAGCTTGATACCTTACCAACATGAAGATTCAAAAGTCCCAGGCGGGATTCGAACCCACAGCTGTTGAGGCCAAGTTGTCTGAAGCCAACGACTTAATGCTAACCCTCGGACTAGTGAATTTGAATTTAACAGCAATGATGAAAAAGTTTATTGTTTGATTTAAAGTGTATAAAGCCATATCGCTGTTGTTTGTAGATTGTAAAAGTTTGTTTCTGTTATTATCTAATTGATTACTGAATATCTGAAGTGATTTTCTTTATAAAAAAGCATGCCGGTAATGCATTAAGTCATCAGCAAACCCATTAAAAGAAGCAGCAGAATATTTTGTCCGGATATTTTACATTTTATTATGTTCAAGTACAATATTTGACGTGTAAATTAAATTACGCACACATTTAATGGTACATGTTTTTTAAAAAAAAAAAAAAAAAAAAAAACGACCATTATATTATATTAAGAAAACTACAGATATTGCTCTAAACACTTTTAGATTAGATTGGGATACAAAAGTGCACGATATACTCGGATCAGACTACGAATTCATAGATGAGTATAGGAGCAAAGAAACAACACTAAGAGACTTGTTGTCACACCGGACGGGACTGGCTCGTCTTGATATTGGTTTGTTTTCTGGTTTTTCAAAAAGTTTATCAAGGGCGCAGCTAAGTATGTGAGTATACATTTAACTGGTCAATGGTATTCTTGTGTTTTGTTAATCCGATTATATATGAATATAATATGGTAGTGTGACGACAAATCCATATTGGAATGTCATCGGGACATAAATTTGTCGTGCATGTTATTTTATGATTGTGAAAATTCAGTATTTACATCACTTATTGATAACATACTATACATATATGTTGGAAGAAAGGCAATCATTACATGGTTTAAGTTAGAGTTAAAAGCAGCAGTTATAAGTCTTAGTTTCAAAATGTCATACGATCTGAAAATTATTTTCACTCGCTTACGAGTAAAAAGGTTGCAGTCGGTATTAATATTAATCTGTTATTGAATAAACTTCACGAGAAATGATTTTTTTCTCCACAGAAGTGATATACATATACATGTATCATAAAATCTCTTGTCGAAGTATATATGTTAATTTATTTATATATATTATAAAAAGTTAATATCTTGAAAGAAAAGAGCTTTACAAATTATAATGTTGCTTTTTAACAAGCTCTAGAATGTTCATCTTCTTCAGAATTGAGTTCACTTACGTTGGTCTATAATCGAATCGCACAAAATCAATGTTTACATTTTATGATAAAAACATACTATAAAACGTTAGGGTGTTTTTGTAATTTTTTGTGAGACATGTTCATGTATGTTGTAAAAATACCGTATTTTATATAACAACAAAAACATCGATATTAAATATAAAATGATACAAGTATTATTAGCATACTTATTTATTTAAAGAAATTATATATGTGTGCATACATGTACAAATGTATATTCAATAATTTACCATCTAACCGTGTATGGTTTAATTGATCGTATTTTTTATAAATGTAATGCTCAAGGGTCATATGTGATTTATTGCATATTAATGATAAAGCATCTTCTTCTATAAAACACCATACGTCTTGTATATTCTAATATATAACAAAAATGTATTTCAGGAAGATGAAGTATTTACCTCAACTATTGCCTTTTCGAGACAGATTTCTCTACAATAACTTCATGTTTATGTATCTCGGACATATAGCAGAAAAATTAGGTGAAGATACCTGGGAAAATCTTTTGAAATCTAAGGTGTTATTGCCTATTGGAATGACATCGACTCAAGTACTCAAACAACCAGAGGATGTGTTGAAAGATAACGTTGCTAAACCATATATATTCAATGATAATGAATTTCAAAATGGCACACTTGATATTTACAGGTATTTTTGTTCTATGTAAACATTGTTCATGCTCCAAAACCTTTATTTTAATAACTGTTGAAGTGGTAAGTGAACCACACAGGTGGTTTAAAACGGTACCTCATATCCAGTTCACAACTATTTAAATTTCAACTTCATTTTTCAATGGCCCTTTATGTACAATGACAGTACACATATTTACCTAATAACAATATCAGAAAGCTTAGTTTATTATAAACATCTTATTTATTATCATAACAAATACCTTTTCAGTTTAAGAATAATGTTTTGTTTTTTTTAATATACGACAGACCGGCGGGGACATTTCAACTTCATGAATTCCTGTTTTCATCTTCGTGAATTCACAGTTTTAACTTCGTGAATTCACGTTTTTTTAACATATGGAATTCACGATTTTAACTTTACGAATTCAACTTTGTGAGTTTTCGATTTCAATTTTATGAATTCACGATTTTTACTTCACAAATTCACGATTTCAACTTCATGAATTCAAGATTTCAACTTCACGACTGCATAATTTTAACTTCATGAATTCACGATTTCAACTTAATGAATTCACGATTTCAGATTCATGAGTCACAATTTTAGCTTCACGAATTCATGATTCGCGCGTGTGAATTGGCGCAAAAAATTGAAATCATGAATTTGTGAAGTTGAAATCGTGAATTCGTGAAAATTATTCCGATAATTCAAGAAGTTTCACTACCGGTCTTTCGTACTTATGAGATGTATGACATTAAAGACGTGTTAAGTTTAAGTCATATTAATTTTGACCCGAAGACAACTAACTTTATTATATATTGAACTTAATTTTTTTTGTAAAAAGTATGAACGGATATCCTTTTTATTTGAAAAATATAAAATTGTCTTACTATAATTTAATTAAAGATTTGATTTACATTTTCTTTTTCTTGTAAAATGTATGAACGTATATCTACGGAAGCTTATCAGGGCCTCCACTTATCTAAAACGTTCACGCCATGTCAACTTGTTTCTTCTCAATTTGACCAAATACATTCCATGAAGATGTTATGATTAATACGTAATATATAAAACATTTCGTGAAGACGTTAGGATTTATACGTAATACGTAGAAGTTTTTAATCATTGCAAAAAAACTTTGTTGGATTACGTGAGCTTTTTGCCAATGCGAGTTACGTCTTTGTGTCTTACTTAATATTTCAGCAAAGTCGTGAAATCAAGAGGTTTCGACAGGATTTTTGTCGAAGAGACAAACGCTTCAAGCAAATCGAGAAAAATTCAGTTGCAATGCCTAAAAGCTTCTCATATTTGTTAATAAATTTTATTGAGAAATGCAAAAACATCTTATCAATGCGAATAAAAATAAGTTGACTTGGCGCAAAACATCTCACCGACTGTAGGCCCTGATGCGCTTCTGTATATATCCCTTTTATTTGAAAACTATATATTTATCATAATTTAATATTATTATATTATTACGTTCATATTTTCTTTTTCTTCTAAAATGGATATCTTCTTCTTTTTTTGAGAATTATCAAATTATCATATTTTGAAAAAAAAATGCAAAAACATCTTATCAATGCGAATAAAAATAAGTTGACTTGGCGCAAAACATCTCACCGACTGTAGGCCCTGATGCGCTTCCGTATATATCCCTTTTATTTGAAAACTATATATTTATCATAATTTAATATTATTATATTATTACGTTCATATTTTCTTTTTCTTCTAAAATGGATATCTTCTTCTTTTTTTGAGAATTATCAAATTATCATATTTTGAAAAAAAAGAAACGTGATATGTTCTTGCAATCTTTAATTTGGGTACCAAAATAAATAATAAATGGTATCGGGTGTATCTTAAAGATCTCAAAGCGGTAAACCACACTAAGTGAACTTATATATATGTACATAATTATGCAAATAAAACAATTTTCAAACATCGAAGAGTATGTAAAATATGTACTGCGAATATTGGTGCATATTATATGTTATCATTAAAATATATGCATTCATTTCTTGTTGTAAAATTTGACTTAAATTTTATTGAAAATTAAGTTTTTATTACCTCCCTTTGTTAACATGAAAGGTTAAATTCGGTAATATCTTTATAGTGCTTTTTGGAACTTACAATATTGATAAATCTTAATTTGAGCATCGTTTTTATGATTTTAAACCATAAAAAATGTGTTACAGGTTCTTTAAAGTAAATTGGTCTATAATGGAAGGTCTGTAAATAATAAACCTGATAGTATTTTGTGAAGGTTTGTAAATAATAAACCTGATAGTATTCAGTATCAGTCATAACAACACACAACAAAAGAATATAATATGGATGTTATAAGATCTGAAATATCATTTTTGTATTTAGATAGCAGATAATAAAATGTCATACAACAAGATAATATTATTCATCATATTAATGTTCATATATAATCATTAGAACTTTATCATCAACTTTTGTTTTTCCAGCAATATTTTATAAGAATATCTGATCGATACATTTTATTTTTTATGAATATTTGAAATATTGTGAAGTATTTATGGATAATGTGGCCTTTGTAAACCTTTCCATTTTAGAAAATTGTTTTTTTTTTGTCTATTTTAGTATTTATCCGGCCGAGCCTGCCGGTGCAATTTTATCGACTGGAGAAGACATGGCAAAATATCTCCGGTTTCACCTAAAAGATGGAACTACTGAAGATGGAAAAACACTCCTGAATCCCATACTTCTCTTCGAGGCATACACTGGTAAAAAAAGCCTTCGACATTGTCGTAATAAATAACACACGATTTTCGGTGTATATACAACCCGAGTTCTGGTATATTACCCCGGAAGGCAGCCAAAGTTAAAGGGTTAACAATATCCGCTGTCATCCCGACGTCCATATTTTTATTTATTTAATTATACCGTAAAACCGTTAACTACAATATTAGATCCATACACTGTTAAAGAAATACTTACACACAACCTTTTTGTTATTCTGTATCTTCCCAGGGGAGTTAACTAGTATCATACTAAATACAGAGGCATGTAGCAGTTATGTGCCGTAGATTATACACGGAGAATATACTCAATGAGGTTAAGGATACAAAACGGGTCTCGGGGAATGTATATTAAAGTTTATATTTAGTTATGATATTAATATTCTATTTTTCTATCATGATTTTGATGTCCTAATGTCAGATAAATACGATACATCTGCCAGAATCTTAAGCTATTATTGTTCTTTTGACCTTACGTATAGACATATAATTAATTGTCATTTTTATATAAATATAACTTTTAAATTATATATCCCTACGCATGTCACTGAATTTACATTCTTGTTAATTCCATATACATAACGGTAGAGCAAATGATGCATCTCAGTAATTATTAGCAATGTTAGATAAATAATGATATTTGAACCCAAAAATATGCCATTTAAGAACAAAACGCAACCATTTACAATGTGATATAAATTTACAAATTTACGAAATCATAAAAATTAAAACGTATGCCAAGAAAAAGCTCGGTTGGGCTATACCATCCACGCTTTTTAACCGGTAAGCAAATTTAAAATAAAACTTATATATAATTATTAAATGTCATATACTTTAACAGCAACTACCCCTACAGTGGACAAAAGTTTCTTAGATAGTTACTATCTTACTCGACCAGAATTTCCAATATCTGAAACACCTCAAGGTTATGGACATGCTTGGTTTTCCGCCTCATACCGAGGTAAGGTTGTTAAGTGCAAATTGTTTTGGACATTAGACATAAAGTATTTGCATGTATATTATTTTAATCTATGAACGAATTTAGCAGGTTTTAAGACGTTATTTGTATATGACGAGTTTACATATTAATGCACTAAGCTCATAAGAGTAATTTGCAAAAATATAATCATTTTATGATAACTTAATATTTAGACTGTAAAGTGAGCATTTTATATAACATATACATAGTAAATAAGCTTTGGTGATTGTAAAAACCACACCGTTATTGCTTAACATGTTCTAGAGAAATTATTTCTGCCTTTAAAATAAAATTATTTGTACAGATGTTAATTAACAAAAAAAGAAAGACGCACAATTATTGTGAACATCAAAATTCTTCCTGTGAATGTCCAGTAAAATTATTGACTGTGTTCCCTAATATTTAAGGATACCGTAAGATATGGCATAGTGGTGGACTCTTTTCGTATATCACGCAAGCATGGTTTTATCCCGACATAAATGCAGGTAAATTTAGGTCGTCTTATTTTATATAATAAACGTTTTTTGCATGCATGACGTGCATACACTATTCCTTCTTAAAAGAAAACATCATATTAATATAGTTCAGCATCTAAACACTGAATATTATTCATTAATCGACCAATATTCCCATGGTTATTGTTTTTTAATGTTAAAATGTTGATTTCTGGCTTAATCCGGTGCTTGGAGCGTGGACGACAGTTTGCACTTGACAGAACCGTCGATGAATAGGCTCATTCAAACCGAGCCTGCATTTTCAATTTTATCGTTTTGTACTTTCTTTAGGGAATCGTTATTTACTCATTTGTGATTAGCATAATTTTTCTAACTTACAGGAGTATTTGCCAGTGTTAATGGCCCAGCTTTAGCAGGCTTGCCCGGTTATGCACTCCGTACAATTATGTATTACATAACTGACAAGCTAATCGGTGAGGACCCGTGGCTAAACGAGACAACAACATGTGAATTTCCAGACCTTTGGCGTAATATAACTACAAATTCAACAGCACCAGAACCGTTTGGAAAATTAGAAAATCCATCAGAATATATTGGTATTTACGGGAGTTATTTCCTTCCTGCGCTGACTATCTCAACAAAACCTGGTGACGATTCTTCATTGCTCATTCAAATGAATAGGCTCGGAGGTGTCCTACATTCAACGCAAGACAAAGATAGGTTTTTGATGGAAATCACTTCTCCATGGGAGTACATGACAGCTTTTATAGATGGCAATAACAATACAGTGTTTGTCAATTCAACATTTATAAGAAATAAAGACGGTGAAGTGAGAAGCATTGAGTTCAAGTATGAAGTAAAAACTGTGTACACCAAAGATATCACAATCTTTGACGACCAAGTTTCAGGCCAAGCTGCTGTTTTGAAGCTAGATACATATTGCATCATTAAGAAGTTTATTATTATGATAGCTATTTCATTTGTGGTTGCCAAGATTAATTTAACCTAAAATTACTTTGAATATTATTCAACTGACTTTGATACATGTTAAACAAAAGGAATTATTCGAATTATTCAGGAAATTATAAAGGGAATTTCTCGAGACAAAACGGATTTGAATGATTTTCTACGGCAACTTAATTTACATTTGTTATGTAAAATACATTTATATACATATTTGAATCATTTAGAATGTAAAATACAAATCTACCGATTTGCAATTGTAAACGCTCAATATCTTGACTCGTGTTTGTGTTAGTTTACTTATCATAAGCAGAAAAAAAAACAGAAAAAAAAAACAAAACAAAAAACACGTTTACTTACAACAAACATTTTTAAACTGTCCAATGTCCAATAACAGAAATACATTTCCATATAGGCAAAAGCAAATAAATTGTCTTTGCCAGAATCGAGGTTATTTATGCGTTAAGATTGTGTCACCCGAGGTTAGCCAAACTCATCTTTTCAGTTTCGGCACCGTATGGCCTAAACTGTTGGTGCGAGGTAAAACCAAACAAAATAGGCAACACAAAACAAGCATAGTCATATTTTTAATTGATAAACTTTCGAAAAACTAACCATTATTGCAACAACTAATCGTTCATACTATATCAAGTACGTTGAATACCACTTTTCCTAAACGTTTCTCTCCGCTACAATAGATATCGCAAATCTAATCAGTGTCAATTGTGTATTTCGGAAGTGTTAAAAACGAAAACGTTCACTGACAGCTGACAACGAAAGCCTTTGCATGTTTCAATAATCGAATTAATTCAAAGTATTGCTTTAATTATTACTACAGAGAAAGCGACATAAGTATGTCAATGTACTTTTGACAATCTACAATTTGTTCTCGAGAACAGCAAGGGCATGTTTAATGATTGTCTTCTTCTTAAAAGTTTCTTTCAACAAAATGGTTAAGTCTTTATTCACCGGATCAGTTTGATGTCGGTGGTCTTGTGTTTCTGGGTCGTGTGGAGATTCCGCCCTTCCTTGATTATCTTGTTTTTCATATTTTACCTTCATCCCTTCACTTCACCCAAAAGAAACACATTTGAAGGTTAGTCGAATGGATAAAAAGTCAAGTGATAGCACATTTAAGAAATACTCAAAACTATTTTATTAATACCTTCAATGAAATTGTCAGATTTTTTTAATGATTAAAATCTTTGGAAACAGAAATGGTGCAATAACCAACTTCATTCTTGATTTAAATTCCGAGTATCACAATTGGGAAAACAGTGCAATTTACAATCATAATTAAAATTCTTTTTTTTTCTTAAAAATATCTGCTTTATTTGATTTGTTTCGTTTTGAAGAATGCTACTTTATTCCACGATCTTATAATGATTTGGTCAAACTCTACCATTACTGTATCTGGTCATTATAGCCATTGTGTTAAAAGGTCTTACTTTACTTATTAAAACATTTAGCTTAAGCGTTTAAGGTACAAAGTTAATTTTGCAATCGTGTATAAAGCACTTTATCAATATTAGTATGCTTCCATAAAAACGTTTTTTTCCGTTGCTCATTGAAATAGGAACACACGCCGCTTAGATAAAGTGGCTATATTTCGGACAGCACACTTTCGGACATAACATTTAACTTATATTTTTCACAGCTTTTCTGCGAGAATGTTGAATTCGAGAGTCAGGTGGCGAGTAATCTCGAAAACTCCATGCATTCATATGATATGAACTGTCCTTAAAAGTTTGTTAATTTTACACAAACATGTAAGATACATACAATACAAACTATTTTGCATGTTTTCAAGTACATTATGTGAATGAAGAAAATAATGTTAAGTTATTCACATTTAATGCGTCTGATATTATCCTTTTGGTTCAACTACGTATTTTGCATTTCGTAATTCGTGTAAAGAGACCGATTTGACAATACCCTTGAACGTACAGGTGCACAGCCTTGTTTTGATTATGGAATTATCAGGTCAGTCTTTAGGCGACACTACAGTCAGCTAATTTTACATACAAACAAGATACAAAGGAACAATTAAACCTATTAAAATTCACAGATTTGTTCATAATGGGATGGTCATTGAACTTTTAATCCATGCCTTTGCACACAAAGGCATTTAAAGGTGCATGTAAGTTTAAACCCTATCCTCGGATGACGTAATGGTTGATGACGGACACTGACTCTAGTGATCATTCATCTCTCAGGAATCATGTGTGATTGGACGATTGCCACTTATGGAGGAACTGGTTGTAACTTGTTGGATATCGAAGATAGCCGTTATTTGTGCGATCGCCGACAAATGTCAAAAATGTGTTAAAGTCAGTCTACTAACCAGACAGAAAAAACTGACAAAGAAATAGTTAGAGAACTTCAGTAATAGACTTGGAATATGTGTCACACAAAGTCTTAAGCTTTAAATTATTTCAAAACAATAATAAGACAATATTGCGTTTTAAAATAAATGCCCTGATTCCTATGTTATGACCCTTTATATTCCTAAGTAGCAATGCAGATGATTATTTACCTGTTGTTGAATTAAGGTGCTTCTTAACTATTTATATGAAGTTTAAATTAATAAAAGTCTAACGTTTATGATTCTTTAATAAAAATGTTTATTTAACGGTCACGAGTCATAACGTCCATCACTTAGGACTTCCCATGAAACGCAGATGGGTTGTTTAGCATTTATAAAAGAAGAGTTGAATATATATTCCTTTTTATGACAAGAATATTATTGTATTAAATGTCATTAACAATACTTACAAGAAAAAAACAAACACTATCATTTGCTTTTATTAATTTATCACATTCATGCATGTTAACAAAAAATTAAGAATGTTACAAATCAGTTAAAACAAACATAAAGTAATAGAAAACAATGATCTTCTAAAAGCCCTTTACAGAAGAATTTTTAGATTAAGAAACTATTAAAACACTCAAGGAAAGAATTCCTTTTTAAACATTCTATCGTCTTATTGTGGAAAACACTATGCAAACATTTTATGACAAAGTTTAACACTATCATTAATCCTCATCTTCTGTGTCAAGGTCATCATCTGTGACAATGTCAGCACAAGCACTAATGAACTGAGAAGCTTGCTCAGCAAATTCTTCTGCTTCAATAACCCCATTTTCTAAAATTATACAAAAGTAAAATATGTTTACCAAATGATAACTATGTGTCTTTAACTATAATATGTAATACATACGTTAGGTTTTAGATAACTTTACTTGACTGTGACAATAATCTTTGTTTACCGATATTAAAACTAATGTTTTGACATGATTAATCTGAAATAGTATTTCAGTAGTAATAATATCATAAGAATAGTTCTTAATTGTTTTCAAAATCTGAAGTGGATGCAAACATTATACCTTTAAACATCAACGCAAGACCTCTTATAATACATTCAGTGACAATAAAAGTAGAGCAAATTCCATGTCAGTCTTTATGATTTAATTCTATCAGCAATCGCAAACGTCAATATACAAATATATTTACTGTAATCTTTATACATAGTACAAACCATTATAATCCAGGTCCAAGAATAAGTTTAGTGCCATTTTGTTGTTACCAAAGATAGCATGCATTTCTTTGAGAGCTATTCCGCCATTTCCATCAACATCGTATGTAAAAAAGTCACATGGATTAGCTTGAAGTTCAACATTGTACAGTTGTTGTTCATTCTGTAATAAATAAAATATGAAATGTAATATAAGAGAACCTTTTTTTACAAAATGAACAAATATTTTATGAAATGTGTCATGTTTATATAACCACTACTGCTTTTGATGCTTCTTCAGCAGCAGAAATAACAAACCAAAATAACCACAAAAACAACAAAAGCATGCTGTTGCTGCTGTGGAAACTATCACTATTCACAATGAAAACGACAACAAAGTTAACGGTTGTATTTTGCATACAGACATGTTTGAAACAGCAAATCAATATTGTTTATACTAGTAAAGATTTAACCGCTTGAAATTATTTTTAGCTTATTTAAAAGATAATTATGTTGACTGAAAGTAATTTTCAAATCGATTTCAGAGATCGTTGGGCATCTCGCACGATATAAATGAATGGCATAAATCGTCCGTCTCGTAACTCTTTAAATTTATTCAATGTTCCATACAATGTAAAATAGTGTGTTTCATTCGTTGTATCTTTTTTATCAGAAAATGCGATTCAAATAAGAAAATAATTCTTATGAGACATTTGAATTCTTACTTGATCGTCACTTCTTTTGTAACGCCGGCCTGGAAAAGTAGGACTTGGTCTAGGAAAAGTAGGGCGTGGCAATGGTATTGGTCTAGGATAAGTAGGGCGTGGCACTGGTATTGGTCTTGGTCTAGGCAAATAGCTCCGCCTACCGCTTCTCCAGGCATCAGTGTACATACAACAGGCCAATAGAATGGCCACAGTAAATAGCGTCACCCTCTGAAATAGGAGATTTATAGACCTTGATATTGAGCGGGAAAATTTATATACATTAAGTATTTATAAACAATAGCAAAATATGATTTTAAAAGACGAAATAATAACAACAACAAAACATACTAATTACAAAGACAAATTAATTCGCATTTTGATTTGTCAAATTTTAATTAAACTGCTCTCACATGTTTACTGGTGTATGTAAAATATGCAATAAAATATGTTCCAAGGAAGAATAATATCACATACCATGATTGTTGTATCTTCTGCTTCAAGTCGATCGTACACAAAGGACTATGACAAAACAATGTGAGGTACGAGCAAATCGTATCCCTATTTATAGCCAATCAGATTAAGATTGCATGACAAATGGTCACAAACAAATACATTGTATGTTTACTAAACAAAGCAAAGTTTTGTTAATTTCTTTTTGCATATTATATTTAAGGACAAACAATTTTATGTTTGTTAACCAGTTTTTCCAAATCTGTAAATCGCCTTATTAACCATGTTTAAAAACAATATATAATTGATAAAACATAATTTAATATTCTCAAAGAATAATGTGTGCACACTTTCAAATAATAAATAATTTTAATCCATTTTAACCCATTCAATAACAGTGTTCGCACTACTTAAGTACATATTGATATGTAATGTGTATTTTTGCGGGTATAAATACCAAAATAAAGTTTGTACTACTTTGTACTATTACTGCGACTCTTAGTTTGGTTGATTCTACTTTATACTTACGTTTACTAAATAAAAGGGTTTTAAGACTGTCGTACTATATTTTCCTTCGAATTATTCTGTATGTTATCTGTATCAAAATGACAAAATCAGGATTCGATTATACTGTTTATGTTAATAAGTTGGTAAGTTATGAAACTCGAAATTTAAATATATTGGCAATTGTTAGATTGTTCCACGAAATCAAAATGTTAATCTCATATACAAATTAATCAGAAATTAAAAAAGGGACCGATAACCCATGAGAGTTGATTTTTATATTTGACGTGACATGCTCGGAATGTCATGAAGCAAAAAAAGATTTTTTCTTCTTAAGAAATTTAAAATACGAAAGCTTTGTTGTTAATCAAATTTCAAAATATGTTGCCTAAAAGAGTACAATGCAGTACTTTTATCTTATTTCTTTTGTCGTTGACATGTCATCGTAGGGTACACATCGGGTTTGACGCGTGCACTTCCTAATTGAGAAGTAGAGCATTTTAGCATCGCAAAACAGCGTGATTATTCATAAGTTTTATTTTGGAAACATTCAAACAAGGGTACATAGAACATTATTCAGGACATCACTTTGAATTTGTAGAACATGTACATAAGGTGATCTGTCTTGAATGACTTTACATTTTATCATTTCATTTTCGAATTGATGAGTGTGAAAAGGAGAATTTTGGTAGATTCTGTTTAATCAGTATGACCTGGCTACCTGAAATAAAATTATAAAAGATATATCAGTCAATTTTGATACTCGCTTGTCAGCAATAGAAAAATAAATAATAATAATAATAATAATAATAATAATAATAATAACAATAATAATAATAATAATAATAATAAAATATAAAATTAGTTTTAATAATAATAAAAACTAAACAAAACAGCACGGACTATATCTCATTTTAAAATCATACAATTAGTCTGAAGCAATATTTTTATTTCATGACATTTTTATATTGTTTTTTTTTTGCAAAAAAGGACAAGTACAACAATTGCAGGCATACTTTCAGAACTGTGCCTTTTTGTTGTGCAATGGAATAATTAGTCAAAGCTTAAGCAAAAGTTTTTTTAAATGGATCATATTAAAATCCATCTGCAAATATACGGAATTTAAAAGAGGTTAATACGAAGCATTGAAGCAAATAAATATTCAAATATGCCTTATTCGACAGCAGAATACTTCCTCCACCAATCCAAGAAAACGAATATCACATAAACTTGAATTTGGTTACCCAAGTATTGAATAATAAAACATATAATAACATTGAATCCTTGAAAATGTTGAGAGTCGATACATTGATTGTTCAAAAGATAAACGCCATTCAAAAGTATTGTAAAATATAAAATGATCAAAAGAAAACGTAACTTTTTGGTTTGGTTTTACGGCGCAGCAACATAATTAAGGTCATATAATCCTGAAACAGGAAATATGATTTTAGTTAATCTCGGATGTTACAAACTAAAAGCAACACATTGGGTCAAAACCAGCTCACCTGCTGTAGCTAAGATATGCATAGACTTCAGTAATTCGGACTAATTCAGTCGCCTCTTACGATCAACGCAGTGTTGAACGGATGCTGTAATTGTAATGCCTCAACCAGATGATGCAACCCCTCACCACAATGATTTTATCTTGAACAATTTTGTCCGCTAAGAAGTAACGTGATCAAGTAAAACATGCGGGTCGTTAATGAATCCTAAATATAGTACAACTTGTAACACTGACCTCTTAAATCAGCAAGGTTAGTTGTACAAGTTCGTACTAGGTTGTAACTTTGCATGTCACAATGACATAATCTAACTGCAACATTTGTGTTCCTGTTTCACCATCCAATAAGTCATAACTTCCTAGTTCTCTTATAGCGTGTATGATATCTCTAGTTGATGGATACATTCAGATCGTGTTACAAACTTTGCATTCAATCATTTGAAGTTTTTCAAGCACATCTCGTTTGTTTTGTCTATTTTAAGCTGTCTTTTTGAAATGGGCGTTGGGACCTTTTAATCTTGTACCTAGCTCTATTCGGCTCAACAAGTACTAAGTTCTGTATTATGACATAAAGTAAATTACTAATACATCGTGAGGTCGTATCAAAAATGTACGACATTGATACATGAAATATGACATTATTTATGATTTTATAAACATGCATGTTCCCACAAGTTGAAATAAAATTCTAAATTAAATATATCTTCTTAAGTAATAAACACGACCTTTTTATTTTTGATGTCGCTTTATTTAATTGTTATATAATAAATACACTATATACTTGAATGTGTTTCTTTGTTTTGAGAATGAATTAATTAAAATCATTTTATATATTAAATAGTTTTAATTAAAAACATCATATCGTTTCATGTTTTAATTGCTATGTAAGTTGATATTATAATTATATTTTTCAGAAAAGACGTTTCATTCTGTTCTCATATCATGGTATTGTTTTACAAGTATTCAATATGTTTAACCGTTTATACCGGAATTTAGTTCATAGCGATAAAAGATGAGTGATTGTAAATAGTCTATGATTTTGAAGAAATAACGTTCCGGAAATAACCGATTTGCTACGAATATAATTTCTTGGCGGGAAAGTATTCTAGTAAGACTACCTTAAAACAATTTTATTGAAGAGGATGAATATAATGTAATAATGTATGGAATATAAATGATTTATTTAATTAACCATAAACATGACAATACTTAACATTTAATTCTAACTCAAACAATTTAGCAACTTCAAAGATAAGTAGTATACATTTTAATTTAAGTAAATAACATTGAAACAAATACAGTCTTGAACGAATATTTCTCCCGTTCTAGATGTCATCTCAACATAATAAGAGTGACCAATACCTACCATAAAGCAAGAGGAAAGCTATTGACTGTGTGGGAAATTATGGAATGTCGAAGGCAACGGCTGCCAGACTGTATGGGGTTACAAGAACCACCCTACTAGATAAACTATCGGTAAGAGTTCCCAAAATGCCAACAAGGCCTGGACCTCAAGTTTGACTCCTGATTAGGAATAAACTATAATTAACTTTGCAAATAAAAGCTTTAGATATAGATGGACGGAATACCATGTTTAAAAACAACTTACAAGGAAAGGAATTGTACAAGGCCTTTAGAAGGAGAAACCTAATAATAGTACGATAAAAGGATTTCAATAAAGAAATCCATGAACTACTCTGATTAATTCGATTGATTTATAACAAAACAATTAGCAACAAAATAAACATTTTTTTTAATATTAAGTAATGTTTGGTAGAAGATGTATCTTACTATCCATATTCAAACACAATCATAAACAGGAAAGTAAGAAATAAATGCATATAATATTTTAATGACTTTATTTTAATATAAAGCTCAAAGTTGAAATTATTTACACATACATGTAACTTGCAATTGCTATCAAAAACACTTTTTAGGAAGGATTGTATATATTGTTTAAAGAAGAGATTACTGATAACAGCGACATGGTTAGTGACCCAAGACGGATTTTTAATACCAAATAACAAATAATCTTGTTTCTCGATTTGTATGAAGTCGAGGCGTGTCATAGTCCCATCTTGGTCCAAAACACATCAAGTTTTGTCCAGTGATAAAACACAAATCACTGTCATGGTATGCTTGAATGCTTTTTGGACTATATGCCCCCATTGATAGTGAACCCTGATAAGTGTATGAGGGACACTGTGGTGTCAGGATGTAAAAAAGCTATTTATGGTACAACAAAAAATGGCTGGATGGATTCTTATTTATTCAATGTTATTTGAGCATGTCAATGCTTACGTTTTAGAAAAAAAGTACATATTATGATTCGGTACAATATTGCTCAGACAATGATATAATTTGTATTGTTTACAGCCATATGCAACACACATTCTACAAGCCTGTGACATAGATCTTTTAAGTCCCATGAAGTCCAAGTGGCGAAAATGGTCAAATAATAGCAATTCTCACATCTTGGATAACATTAAAACTAACTAAAATCCACTTCTTAGAAGTTTTTAAGACCTGATGGAATAATGTAGCAAATTTAAACAACAGTATCAATGTTTTTAATCGATCAGGCATATTCTACTTATCTTCTGAAGGCATTGATACTTCAAAATAATGTCCATCTGAGCTGCACCCTTGTTAATCTCTACTATTTCTCTTGCCAGCATTCTTTCCATTTAATACAGAATGCTGGTAAGAGAAATAGTAGAGATTAACAAGTCAGTCAGTCTCTATCGGTCATTGAGTCCATGTCATTTAACTCAGAAATCATGTGGAATAATTTATCGGTGTCATTTACGGAGAAGTTTGCAATTGATGCCTAGTTTATATTCAGAAATGTCGGTTTTAGGTAGACTAACTACCAAGACATGAAATAAAGAGTAAAAATTGGCGTAAAATATATCTAGTTTCCCTTATGATTATTTAAAGTTAATTGTTTACAAGCCACAACACACTGAATAAAAGTTATTCCGTTAAATGTTCAAGTTGCACTGTCCCCAATAAACTTGAACTGTTGATATTACCTTCACAGTGTTGATGTGCAAAATCATTATCAAAACAAATAATAGTATTAATTAAATGGCGATGAGAAATACAAACTCACCAACCCTGGGATAAATTGTCTTTTTGTTTTTTTTGACAATTTACAAAAGAGAGTGAACACT